TATTTCCTTTCTGATAACCATTCTCTGCAGGTAATGCCATGAGGCCAGAAGTTTTCTTCCATGACCTTGTGTGTTTGGTGTAGGAGGACGTTGATCCTGGCAAAATACAAGTCTCTTTTCTTAGTTGGCATCAGTCTAACAAAGGATAGCTGGACCCCTTTGTGTTGGGCATACTTGTAGATGGTCTGCTGCAATTTCTTTGGGTCGTTTTTCTTCATATAGCCCAGGAAAAACCTCTTTCTCTGCACTCTGTTTCTCTCAATGCCCACAAAGTCTGAAAAGTCAGTGTCGTTGTCTGTACATCTTGTGTTGTTCTTCCCTGCTTGTAGCCAGTCATATTCAGAACTGTCTTGAGGGATTCTAGGGGGCTGTGTTGATTTGTGCATTGACTGGCTTGACCTCTTTCTCTTTCTGGGTGAGATCTCTTGCTGCACATGCATGACTGCTTCTTTGTATGTTTTATTCTGGGTGCTTTCAAGTCTCTTTGAACCTTGTGTACTATCTCTTACTCTCCATGGGCTTCTTCTTACTTTTGGGCTTTCCACTCTGTTTCTGTCCAATGTGCTCACGCTCCCATTTACTTCATTGGTTTGTCTGGGACCTTTGTTTTCTGTCTTTGGCCAGGCACTGCATTCTTCCTTTGCACCTCCTGGTGTGCCGGAAGTTCTGTTTGCAGGCTTGTCACCTGTTAGTATGTCTCTGTTTCTTCCTCCACTGCCACTCAGGTCAGTCTCTCTTCTGGGGCTAGGGTCTAAGATGATGACATTGGCTTCATCATCCTGTCTCTTACTCCTGGTGCTTCTTTCTCCACTCTCGTGTACAATTCTCTCTCTAGTCTGTCCTGCCTTGCTCTGTTTTACCTTGCTCTGATGGCTTTCCTGTTTCTCTGTTGTGTTGTCTGAGCTCTGTTGATTGTAGCGTGTCGAATGCAAGTATGTGGCTATCATGTCGTCCTGTTTTCTGTTCAAGAATTCCTCAGAATCTCGGCCAGGCTCACGCTCTGCACCAAGGATCTTGTTGCTTTCACCAGTTTGGTTGTTATTGTCGTTGTTCCCATTTTGTTTTCTCAAAGAGTGTTCTGTTGCACCCCCTGTACACGCAGTCGTAGTCTCAAGGTGTTCACACCTAACCCTTGTCTCCTGTACCATGCTGTGTGTCCTTGACAGAGCATATTCTTGTTCTCTCAGTCTTCCTTCGAGTGAGTGGGCTAAATTCTGTATGTATGTTGTAATCTCGCTTATCTTTGCCTCTTTGTCTGAGTCCGTTTTCTTATATGAGCCAAGAAGAGCCTGGAGCTCTGTCTCTAATGAATTGATCTTGTTGTTGTGTGTTGCCACTATTGTCTGTGTTCTCATTTGTGTGCTGTCAATCTTCTTTAGCTTCCCCTTCATACCCTCAATCTCTTCTGATAACACAAGTTGTGTTCCCTTAAGTTCTGCTAATTCCTCTTGAATACTTCTCAGATGTCTGTCGCAGTGTTCTGTTATGTCGTCTCTAGCTCCTTCTTGGCGTCTTATCTTATTGTTTACACTCTCCATCTTCTCTTTTAGCTCTTTCACGTCTTTCTTTAGCCCCTCTCTTAGGCTCGCATTTTCTGCCAGTATTCTCGCTATGACGTCATTGTCTTCTTCATCCTCTAGGATCGGGTTTAAAACTCTGCTTCTTGTCATGGCTGGACTCTGCCACATGCCTTGCTGGGTTCCATGAGGGAACATTCTCTTTATCTCTGCCAAGTTCCTTTCTCCTTCTAAGAATTGAAACAGGGCACACACGTCTTCTGCTAGTCTGTTGGCGACCGGCTCGGTATTAGCCCTGTACGTTCTCTTCTTGGGTTGCCCCTGTGGACACCCTGGTCTTTCTTGTCTGGCTATTGTGATTAATGCATCCCTCGTGTGGTTCAGTATGTGCTCATTATGGTTACTTGCTGCAAGTACCTTCTTTTTTGCTGTATTTCGGTCGAGTCCCTCAATGTGGCTCCTCACTAGGTTGAGGATCTCCCTCGGTGTCTCTGAGTCATCTTCAAATGAAATATCCTCTATGCCTCTAAGCCACGTCCCCGAGCCCTCCAGCTCCCCTTCCTCGTTGTCTGCATGTGTACTCTCCTGCTCCGCTGTCTGCTCACACTCCATGGCTGCTGTCTTCTGTCCGTTGGCTGTTTGGCCCTTGTTGCGCCTGAAAAGCAAACGAAACTCGCCAGTACACAGCTACGGCTACAGCCCTCAAGGTCTACAGATTTCTGTTGATCCGGTTACACTCTAAAGCCAAGTGTTAGGCAAGTACTAGCTACCCACCGGCAAGGGCCCGTATTTCAGGGCCCTCGGATGTTACAGCGTCACACCGGTGGGGAGGGGGGCGCTACGCGCCAACAGCGTCGGTCTGCTTTCTCCGTCCTCTGTCCGTCTTCCTGGGACTGGTATTTCCCTCGGTGTTCTCTTGGTTCTTCGCCGCCTTTCCCCACACGAGTAGGTACTACAGTCGTGTTTTTAATTGGCCTAAAAGCGTTGTTTACCGGGATTCTGCTCAGCCTAAAAAAACAACGCGGCCGCCATCTTGGACGATCCCATTTTTTTCAACCAGGCTACAACGAAGGCAACAACAACGGCTATCACCATTCTCGTTACGCGATTACGCGACTTAATGTCATTCCTAGAATCAGCAGCTACACCCCTATTTTGTCTTAAGGTCTTAAACAAAGCGCGTAAAAGAACATAATTATAACTAAAGGCAATACAAACGATAGAAGGAAATTAAAAAGTGTCATTGCCAGATTCTTCTTAATGATGCCTTGCGATTGAATATCTCGTGATGTTGCTGGTAAGAATATAAAGATATATCCTAAAATACTTAGCACAAATGCTAACACCCATAAACCGGCATTTATAAGCCAAGCGCGCTTCTTTGAGCTCTTTTCTATGTGGCCTATGGGGTCTGAAACAGCCTGGTAACGTTCTATACTCAGTGTCGTGAGACATAACACGCTGACGAAAGCGCACGTGTCATAGCTTACAAACGTTACATGTTGAAGCCATCCGCCCGTTTCTTCTAGTAGAACTACGGCCCAAACCAGCGGAGTTGCCACCGTGCAAAAGAAGAAGTCAGCCATCGCAATGTTTAACACAAATATGTTTGGATAGGTCCTCATCTTCGGTTTCTTGACTATGACGTAGATGACAAATGCGTTTAACACAGAAGCAACGGCAGCCAGAATGAGATGCACCGTTGGAAACCAAACAGTTTTCTCCAGCGAAGAAGTCACAGGGAACGGAACAGTCCCGACGGAATATGAATTGTTGTCCATTTCCGGTGGAAAGATTGATCCCGGAAATGACGTCATAGTTTCTTTAATGTTATGTTCCAGGTGTGTTGTCACAGTTTTCACAGGTACAATTCGCTGAAAAAAGAGAGAGTAAAGAAGGGGTATTCTTACTGCGTATGGCTCTTTGAAAGTATGGCTCTTTGAAGTAAAGGATAAAGAATAAATTAAAATGCCTAACACAGAAACACCTGGCAAAAAATATTTTTTCTCCTTCCTCATAAAATTGATACTTAAAAAGCTAAGGGTGTCAGCCTTGAAAAAAATTAAGGGCTGAATTTTGTAAAGAATATTTTAAAAGTTTTTGAAAAATTGCTGTTTATGTCAAAACTAGATCTATTATAACATGTACCACACATAAACACTGCAGATATGAATCACTCACATAACCAGAAGTTCCACTCTGTCAATTGGTGACAGGCTGTGCTTAGTACCAGACTAAGTACTAGCCTCCTTCGCAGTCTTGTTGGGTGTGGGCGTAATTTTTTCTCTGAGCGACGCGAGTAATATGAGCGCGGAAAACCTTCTCTCCCGTGGCAAAAGTCCCTCGGCAGCAAATCGTCCCTCGCGGCGGCATATTACTCGCGTCGCTCAGAGAAAAAATTACGCCCACACCCAACAAGACTGCGAAGGAGGCTAACTAAGTACATGTAGTCTTCGGCCGCCATCTTGCTTTGCACGGTATTTTACTTAATAAGTATGGAAATGGATATGAACGAATAAATTGTTTGACAAGATTTTTCCAAAACAGCATATTACACAAATATATGTTTTCCTGGCCATGTTTATTAATATACGTATGCTGGCGATGTGATAATATGGTGTTATCTATTGAGTAAATGTTGAACAGATAAACAGACTGTTATTAGAATATATATACCGTGTCCAGATATACATGTACATGTAACAGCACCCGCGTTTGATAAAACAGTATAATGAGATGCATAAATCCTATGCAAATCTTCAGAATACTTGCTGCATGTATTCAAATCAAAACTGACTGTTTTTTAATCTTGTTAAAAAAAAAAAGAATACACATCGTTAATATAACACGTACCTGTGTGTTCCAAGATCTTGGCACAACTGGCTAAACCGGATATGACGACAGTGGGTGACGTGTAGTCTGTCCAAAAGCGGGGATGCATAACTTACTATATATATTGTCACAGTAATAAATTATTGTTCTGTTAGGCCATACTGATTTGATTAAATGAATAACATTCTCTGGGCACCCCAAACACTGATGGATTCAGCAGAGAAAAAAGTTGAGAAAAGTGGGGTCGTGTGGCGTAGGAGCAGAGTGCTCGACTCGGAATCAAGAGGCCCCGGGTTCGAGTCCTGACATGGAAAAAAAAAGTTAAGAAAAAAGTTTTCTTGAAGTTATGAACTCTATAAGTCATCACAAAGTTAAAAATGACAAAGACACAGAACAATATTGGTACATATTTACCAAACAATAAACAATAATATATTTTTCTTCTTCAACACACATTTCATTTATTGACAAGCAAACAGGTCCTTGGTAAATACAAAGGACTATATTTGTACACATTTTGTTCCACTATCAATTTGAAATGTCAGAATACAGAAATGCAGGTAATGTTATAGACACATTAAAGCTTTACATATATTTACATGCAGGTGCTTTCTGAAAATAGCATTGATTTACTTTTTAAGAATTCAGACTTTCGAATCATGCAAAAACAATGATCATACAGATAAAAAAGATTCATTTATTTATGATATGTATAGATATAATGTTTTTATGTCTTCTTTCTTTCTTTCTTTCTTTTTCTTTCTTTCTTTCTTTCTTTCTTTTTTTCTTTCTTTTCCTTTTTTTCTTTCTTTCTTTCTTTCTTTCTTTCTTTCTTTCTTTCTTTCTTTCTTCTTTCTTTCTTTCTTTCTTTATTTTTAAACTTGGCAGTTTGACTTCCAGATCAGAAGTCGAGTTTATAGATGTCCCCGACATGTTCTCCGTAGTACTTTGTAGCCAGGTCTCTCCTTGGCAACTTGACATCTGACTTGGTTCCTTTCTTGTCCTGCGAGGTTTTCTTGGCAGACAACTTCTGTTGTTTTTGTCTGTTCCTCTCCAACTGGCTAGCTACTCTCCTGTAGAATAGTACGACAAAGTAAAAAAGTGATCTCGAACCATTTGAACTCAATGAACTTAACTTAGTAACCTTATCTACTAGTCCTGACAGAGAAGATACTATGCACAGTATTTACAGGTTCATTGTACTTGCAAAAGTTTCTCTAGCTCTTTCCAAAACAGCCTAATCTCATGAATACATGACAAAATAAATGATCGGCTAACCATTGCAGTGTTAGGAAATTGAATGAATGACTATGATTATTATGACTGAATGAATGAATGAAAAAATGAATAGACAGATTACACATTAAAGATGTAGTTGCTATATGACAACAGATAGGCAATTCCAACCATATGCAATGCTGCATTAGGAAATGAACTGAAATGAAGGAAGGAAGAAGGAAGGAAGGAAGGAAGGAAGAAAGGAAGGAAAGTAGGAAGTTAGGAAGGAAGGAAGGTGGGAAGGAAGGAAGGAAGGAAGGAAGAAAGGAAGGTAGGAAGAAAGGAAGGAACAAATTTAATAATAATAAAGACATACTGTGCAGGAGGTAGAGGGGAAACGTATGCTGACTCCCCCGCGTGTGAAATCCCTCGCTCCACCTGAGACGGCTGGTTGGCCTTCTCCCACTCCAGGAAGTTATACTTGTGCAGACAGTGTCTGCATTTCAGCTCACTCTTCACTGAGGATTAAAAACAATTAAATTAAAAACCGATTAAAGCACCAATAAGAAATGAAGCATTTTACACCTCTAAAGTTTTATTCATTATACATTATAACTCTGTTTTTTACATCACTCACATGCTTTCTCGATGACTACGGGATGTCCGGCCAGTTTGGCGGTATCCAGGGCCGTATCGTCGCGGTTGTTACGAATGCTGAGCTCAGCGTCGTGCTGCAGACAGCAGTTAAAACACTCGGCACTGCCCGCCTCTCCCGCGTAGTGCAGCGGGGTGTAGCCCTGGTCTGAAGGGACAAGCGAGGAAGTACATGTCATGGTCAATAAAAAGATACCGGTAATATAGATTTATAGCCTTTTTGAGGACACAACATCAGGAATGAGAATCAATAAAATCTGCTGGAGTTATGTTAGTAGATGTTACAGTGTCCATAGTCTGGTGACTGTGTAAGGCTATCAGAACTGTGATTCTAAGAAATAAATCATTTCGAAACAGAATTGTAACTTACCATCCTGAATGTTTGGGTTGATTCCCTTCTCCAGTAGCCAGTGTAGACAAGTCATGCCATCATACTGGGCAGCCTGGAAACAAACAACAAGGAAGGAAGATTCTCGCAATTAAAAAATGCTTAAAAAATGCAGGCATGCAGAAAAAGTATTCAAGCCGAGTAAGTGTGCTTCAGCTATTAGTACTAGTATAATGTGAATCATCAATGTTAGCACTTCTAATGGTTTTCCTCAAACCAGAACTGAATTTACCCTGTTCTGTAGTAAATTTACCATGTGTGCAGGTGTCCTGCCGCTCCCATCCCTCCCCTCTGGATGGCAGCCATTTTTGATGAGGAGGCGTAGACAGTTGACGTGGTTGTGTGCGGCTGCGTAGTGGTGAGGTCTGCATCCAAAACTGTCACCAACCGTGGTGGGGCAGTCACACTGGATCAGGGCCACTAAAGCTTCCAGACCTGCAACACAATGTTTTAGGCATAAATCTCAATAATCTTTACAACCCACTGCCCCTACTGCCTCAAAAAGGCCATGGGACTAATATTACCTGTCCTTGGTGCTGAACAACATATCCGCTTCAAAAAATAATGGGATTAACACATATACCTTTACATTTTAGTGGGAGAGGAAAGGAAATGCAAAAAATAAGCAGTAAATTTCAATGTTAACAGGACCAATATCAGCCCATGCTGCCGGTAGCCCACTTTATTGCAATGTTGCAATTTGAATAAAATGAAATAAAATTACTTAGTCGTCAACATTTACAGCAGATGAATGACAATATTTTACTTACTTATGCTGATATGATGTCGTAGTTAGAAATATTGTAAACAGTCCATGTATTTCAGCAATGGCTGCAAAGTGGAGTCTGTTTTTATGAAGTAATAAACCATTATTATTATTATTATAACAGCATAATCAGCAGGACTGACCCCCATGCTGTGCGGCATAGTGGATAGGTGACCTCCCCTGGGAGTCAGTGACCTGTAGGTTAATGCCCTTGTAGAAGAGAGACTGGAGGATGCTGGGATGGTTCCTCATGGCGGCCAGGTGACCCGGGGTCCTCATCAGGTTGTCATGGAGACCACAGTCCGCACCTGGAATCATGGGAAACATTCGAAAGAGCTTAGTGAACAGTGGCAGAAGTGTAATGGTTGGCCTAGAACCAAGAGGTCCCAGGTTCGATCCCTTGATGCCTGATGTTGTGCCCGGAAAGGTTGTCACAATATGACATGTTTTAACACCATTTTATCTTTCAACTTGAAGACTGAATACACATCTTTCCAGTTATGAATTGAAAGAGAGAGAGAGAGAGAGAGAGAGAGAGAGAGAAATTTGAAGGACAATAGAGCAAGTCCTATCAGATATGGGTGTGGATGAGGGTTGGGTGATGACAAGTGACAAAAGTGAAAAATAACGTTCTACCTTAGTACATGTAGCTACTAATATGACCATGTTAACTGAATTGATACAACTACTAAGAAAATTCTTCTAACTCAAAAACTCTTGACAAGGGACCAATTAAAAAGGATTAAAGCACCAATAAGAAATTAAGTATTTTACACCTCTGAGGTTTTTTACTGTGTTCCTCCGATGTGCTATTCACTTTCTCCCAGCCTACAAAAAGACCATTTTGTATAGGTGGTATCCTACCTTTATCAGCCAGTATGTTAAAACAGTCCAGTTCTCCATGGAAGGCAGCCAAGTGACAGGCGCTCTGTCCATCCTTATCCTACAGGCAGTGGAACAAGATGGAATTGAAGTTGACATGCTAAACCTGATAATGAGTTAGTGTGACATGATACAATGAGTCTTGCAGTTAGGGTTGTGGCTATTGTTGACTCAGAGATCCAAAGGTGCTTGGTTCGAATCCCTGGCAGGCCCCATTGTTGTGCCCTTTTATAAAACACTTTACACCTGTTTCTACACTCAACTCAGGTGAAAATGAGTTTATCATCTTTGGTATAAGGGAATCGTTCTCTTGGATGAGATGTAAGGCCAGAGGCCCCATGTTTGTGTAGAGCCACACCTCTCCTCAAACTTGCTTGGCCACGGAGCACCTTAAAGATCCCACATTTTAACACTTATCAAAAAGGGTTATTGGAGTTCTTAAGTCCCTGAGTGTGTGTGGATCAAACCTCACAGTCTGGTCTTACACAGCTGTACTCTTACTGTACAAGTTTTACACCTAAAGGAAGCTTACTGGTTATAACAAACAAAACAAAAGCCTGGATGACAATTCTGTACATTGTATGGTACATGTCTCCTACAAGTTGGCAAAGCATAATCACAAAAGCCATAACCGTTACACATGTACCAACCTGAGTGTCCAGAGCCCTGCCTCTCTTCATGTACCTGACCAGTACCTTGACCACCCTGTCAAACCCTCCGATACAGGAGTCATGGAGCGCCGTCCGACCAGCTGCACTCTGGACCAGGGGGTTGCCTTCAGCCTGCAGAAACAGAAATTTGAGTCTGCAAACATTTCTGGATATAAATACACTTTTTGCTTGTTTGTACATTGTATCCAGCATTCTTCTTGTATTTGTACTGTCTGTCCTTCCATTTCCTGTCCTATAGTTAAGGAGGAGGTAGGAATACCAAAACTTTGCCTCAAAGGAGGGTGAATAACATTATACTTCACTTTCATCACTTTACATTTTGTTATTTCTAAAATGGAATGGCATGCAAAGTAAACGGTATGAATGATTGTGAAATTGAGATAAACATTTGGAGAAACAAATATCCACATGCATAGATTTAAGTTAAGACTGTTACACTGTATATAACCACCAATATGTTCTGATGCTTCAACTCAATCCATGATCTAACATTTACCCAGTCCTATGTCAGAATAATCTTTTTAAACATGCATAGGACTGTCTCCACTTACTGTACCTTGAACATTGCAGGTAATGTACAAATAGATATCAGAAATATCTACACAGCTCCAACTTTACCTGCATTATCCATGTATACACGTTAACACGTGTACGCGAGCTCTAATCATTAGGCACTCCTCACCTTGAGTAGTATCTCCACCACAGCAAGGTGCCCGTACCCTGCAGCCCTGTGTAAGGCTGTGCGTTTGTCCTCCTCAGAACAGAAGTCTGCGTCTAGACTAGTGGTCTCCAGTAGGCGACGGACCGTGTCGGAGTCTCCCTTCTCTGCCGCAACCAACAATTCCGTTCCACGCTCTGCGAAGAAAAGGAAAAAACATGGTCCAGAAATGCAACCATTTCGATAAATTTAAACTACCCACGCTTTGCAAAGAAAAGGAAAATAATTATACATTCTTTTGTGTCAAAATGCTTAGTCTTAAACTTTTAAAATTTATTACTTCTGGATATGGAAGTATTGTTTTGGGTGGCCGCGTTGTGTCACTGTGTGTGTGTGTGTCACAGTGCATGTGCGCGTCTTTGTCTGGACATAGTAGGTTCACAGCATGTGGGTGGAGGAAAGACTTACAGGCAGAAGGCCACTGGTCAGACACAGGAACTGGGGTAGACTTTAAGGTCACGAAAACTGCAAAGAACTTGAATTTTGCTGCTTTTGACAGACAAAAGTTCCCTGCTTTCTGTTATTTTGATTACGACAAAATTGTAACATCACACACTTAGCATTAATGTGGCTTAAATTCTGTACAAAAAGAATGAAAAAAATAATCATTTTGACCCCTCTTAAGCTTTTCAAACCCTCTTAAGTTTTGGTGTAGACTGTGTTTATGACAAGTAAACACACTCAGTCTGGTTGCTTGTTTGGTGACCAGATTGTAACCAACATGCTCGATCAAGGCAGCACGTAATTACAAGAGTACGCTGGTTTTCTTACCAGGGTTCCACGCTGAGGGATTCCGACTTTCGAGTTCCGAATGTGTGATTTCCGACCTGCTCGGGTACGAGGTGGAGGTCTGTCTGCCGAAGGACCAGGGGGTTTTGGGAGTTTGTGGAAACTGAAGAACCTCGTCTTCAAATTCATCCATACCTCAGAATCTAGATACCAAATCCATTGTTACCAAAGCAAGAAGGCAATCAGAGATAGCAGACTTCAACCCCTCAGAGATAAGCGTCATTCAGCAGACGGCACTGCTTACCTATGGCAGAGCACATAGACAGACTGCAGTGCAAAAACACATGTGGACAGACAAGCCAAAAATTATATAATAATACATAGTTTACGTTCATGGAAAAATGAATATGAAGATACTGTGAGTCTTACAATAGCCAATGCTGCATTACATCCATTTCTACTTCAACAATACAAAATTCATGCAGGCGACTCTAAACCTTGTAACATAAACAGAAAGTACAATTCCTTCTTTAAAACACACTGTACATCAGTATGCATAATTAGACATTTTCGATTAAATTCTGAATAGGACAATAACCACGAGACTATATTGAATCCAAACAGCAAGTACATGTAACATCCGTGTCCATAATATCACCAGGGTCCATAATATCGCCACCTTGAGAAAAAGTGTGCTCAAAGATATTTTTACTGCAACATACCCTAGGTATGTACATTTGAGGTGTGCAGGAGTGCATACCAAGAGTATGTTGCAGTAAAAATATCTTTAAGCACACTTTTTCTCAAGGTGGCGGTATTATAGACCCTGGTGATATTATGGACACGGATGTTACATGAAGTTTTACCAAAAAGCAAGAAACAAAAGTATATAACTTGGAGAAACCTGAAAAACTCTCCACAAAAACACCACAAACTGTTCCCTAAGACATTCCTGACAAGTTTCTTTTCAAGCGTCCCAGGAGCTTTTCTGACTGAGATACTGTAAGTCTTCAAACTTTCGCAGTCATCTTATTTGTTGTGCTGACCTATTCAGCATAAAATTCATGACACCAAGAATATTGACATTCTAAATTATGTAAAAATGCACTAATTTCAAGCATGAAGTCAAAACACCGTGAAAACCTCATTCTCCCACCTAGTATAAAATAAAACAACCACAAAAGTAACGGAATTTACAGTATAGTTCTGCTTTTACGCTTCGGACTGAATGCAAAACAGTTTCACCTCGCTTCACCTCATAAATTGCAGAAAGCAGCGACCTTTGTCAGAAAGGTCAAACACAGAGCCAGCACATCTCTATGGAACAGCTAAAGTGTACACACAACAAATGACAGCATACGTTCCCATGAAGTAATTAAAAAAAGCATCTGGAATCCCCGCGGGTGTACTTAACCTGTCAGGTGGCTTCACCTGGACAAATAAGCTGACCTCGCAGACAACAAAAGTTGATTAAATCAAACAATGAGTCTACTTAAAGGGTATAGAATAAGTTAATTGAGAAATTTTGATCTGCAATAGCAATTTTTTCCAACCCAAAGGTGTGAAAATTCTATGACATCTTAATAAAAAAAGAAAAGAGACCAAAAAAATGCATCGAACACCTTCTTAACCCAATAAACCAGTGTAAAATTGGGGTGCCAATAGTTAAAACAGTAGCCAATATTCATAAAAGGCTATTTCAAAGTTCTAAGTTTTACATCAAGTATTTCCTATAGAATATAATTCATGTTTCAAAAATTATTTTGAAACTTCAAAACAGAATTATTCAAGTCTTGATGACAATGTTGTAACTCTGCCTTAGGCTATGTATACTATACAAGTTGTCTTCACAACTGTTTCCAAAACAGTAACCAGGTATGTGATCATGAGATAACTCAGATACATTCTGGTCAAAGGACAGCTTGTCTCATTATTATCAATGTGACCCTTATATGATGAGATATTGCACTTAGATACAGGGGTCAATTTGGTTTATTTTGAAGACTTTGAGTATGTGAAAATCGACATTGAATAAATCTAGTAAGTTCTAAGATTTGTTCTATATTTTCTTGTCAGTGGACTTTCAAATTCAAAAGGATTCGAGAACAACCTCAGGACTTCACAATAAAAAAAAAATCATACAGTTTGGGCATGACCTAATTGTATTGAATGATTTGCACAAAACATGAATGTAGATCCTTATATAATAGTACATGTGTACTACATAATCATGACATTGACATTCATTCAAATGAGACAAGCAACTGGATAGATTTTGAAAACTGTCAACATAACTGTTACCTCAACAAGCTGGGGTCTATAGATTAGTAATCCTGCTTCAAACCCGAAAGGAAAAGCAGTCTAGCTTAGCTCTGATCTTGGCCAAGTAGCATTGAGAATGTCAACAATAAAGCTACTCATGCTAGGAAATGCCACAATACAGACTGCTATTCCAGCTACACATGGTGAAATAGAACAGACCCAAGCAAACCTGTCTCAAAGTCAAGCATCACAAAGGAACAAAAACCTGCACATACTAACACTAACATTGACAACACAAAAGCCTTCAGTCAAAGTAACAATTGTCACACCACAAAAACCTTTGCAATATACTGACATTTCAGCAGAATCTTACAGTATTCAACTATTATGTTATATCTACCTGCATTTTAGGAACTTTGAAAGGAATTCTCAACAGTATACAATGTAGACTAGAAAGCAATTCTCCAGCTCACCTCCCGGTAAAAGTCCATAAAAACATTCACAACACTCAGTCTTACAGCTTGACAGAATATTACAGTAATAAACTTATATATGATCTACTAGCATTTTAGGAACCTTCAAACGAATCTACTACTCAACAGTATAAGCAGCTCCACAGATCACAGTAAGGTACCACCCGGTAAAATTCCACGAGAACAAATTGCGTACAAATCAGGTCCGTACGTAGGGCTTCGCTCGCATTCCTCGGTGTCGGGGCAAGGTTGTAAAAACAAGAGCCACGGTCGAGAGTCCACCAGCGCGAAGCCGGATAACCCAAACGGCGTTAATGTGTAATGAGTGCAGGACACAATGGGTGTTTGACATGAGGGTCAGGCAGGGAGAGTTGTCACGATGGAGGGGATAAGTGTGGTGGATTAACGCTTACGTGCTGTTATGTGTTTAGAGTGTCATTCAAGCTTGCTCGAGCGAACAAGGTTGGGTGTATTATTTTTTAAAAAAACTAACAGAGACGGCAGACTTCGCCCCCACTTTCAGGTATAGTTGGTAAAAACACAGTCACACAGTTGACAGAGCTATAACACACACTGGCCACACTTATTAATTAATTAGTGCCAAAACAAAAACAACAACAATACTTTGTCAACAACAATACTAAATTACTGTGATGGAGAACTTAGAGCTAGTAGAAAGTGAAAGTTGAATGGTTCGATAAGGTATATTTGAAATTTTAAGACAATATGAAAAATTAATAAATTTATAATATTTTGCCAAAATTACTTCATTCAAGTAGCTTAACATGTAGTTTTTACAGAACATATCAACTTCTAGAATCAAATACGTGTTGACATTACTTCTATAACATGCGAATGTAAACCTTAGTAACGTAATATTGCATTTAATATTACAAAAAATATAACCCTTTATGAAGGGGGAGGGGGGCAGTAGATTTGCCAAAAGAGTGAGAGATCCAAATACACAAGTCCAGCGTTTAATTGCGTTATAGAGGGAGCTTTTCGTAGTCCAAACAACTGCACAGCCGTAAATTGAGTTAGTCTTAACAATCCAAACTTCGCCATTAAAACACGCCCACAAGTCGACTGGAAACCTAGCAACCAAATCTCAGAGATTGTCAGACGATAACTTTGTTTCGCAAAGTGTGTTTGCTTGGCGGTAAAAACAATCCGTGACCTCGATTCGTCTCAATAAAAGTCTCCTTTGTTTTCCTAGCTTTAATCTGGTCAAATCCGGCAGGTAAATACGACTTACCCATGGTTGTATGGATAAGAATATCCGTTCTTTTTCAGCTCAAACCAAGCGATGCTCTCACGAAAAATCACCAACGTGAACGCACGTCAAAAGGTAAACAAAACACAGAATTTTCCTGTCCTAATTCTATTTTCTTACAGAAAATTCTGAAATAATTGGTACAAAAAATGTTTTAAGCGAAAAGATTCTTTGAGATCGTTGTGTGAACCTTATTTTCAAAACAAAAGTCAATTTTGATTTATTGTTTTCGTCAGGTTTCTTTGCGATGAAATTTAAGCTGATGAACTTTGACCGACAGCAGCATAATGTAAAGAAAACATTAGTGTGCATTGTATCGCAAACTACTTTTGAAATCATATACCCAAATTTTGACAGTCATAAGATAGTATATATTTATTAATATTATTGTTTGTAAACATTTTTTGCAAGAAAAATTGTCGTGTGAAAATCTACAACGTAGATACTTGAAGGTGCGTTTGGCTATCACGGAGCCTAGCAACCGTTGCTAAGAACGCCCAACACTGTAATACAAGCACAGCTGACTCGCGCCCTCGCTTTGCAACATCCTCACGGATTTTGGGGCGTTTTTTCGCCAATTTCTTCCGCGAAAACCTTGCAGTTGGTATCAAATCTACGGATAACACATTCGTAAAGGTGGGTAATCAATTTTTTATGATAATTTTGGCGCAAAATTGCGATTTTCTTCACTTATTAGGAGCGTCACGCTGGCTAGAATGAATGAATCGCTGCAGTACTTATGTTTCACATGCCTCAATGACCTCCAAAATAATCACAGCTCTTCACAAATATGATTCGTGCAATCAAAAAATCTGAAAATTTTCGTAGATTAATGTTGTATTTGGTGGTTTTCAATCATTTTGCAATAAATTTAGGCTAGAAAGAAGTTTAAAGTCGACAGGATGTTTTGGCAATGGCTGCGTGACTTGTCCTTAGTTACCGTCTGTAACACACACATGCGAGCTACATTTATGTCTGAATGTCGCCCCTAACCCGGGGTTTCTCTCAAGGATTCATGCATAAAAACCTCCTATTTTCAAGGTTTTTAAAGCACCTTAAGAGTACTTAATGTAGCACAGTGTATGATCAAATGGTAACAACTTAACACATGCCTTTAGTTACGAGTGCTTAACCTTAAAATTCAACAGTGCTTGTCCAACGAGTGACAACCTTAAGAGAAAATAACCCTTAAGAAGACGACCATGCCTGAACAATTCAAGAAATATTCATATTTACATTCTTCAGAAGCAGATGTGTTTTGAATCATGTATATGTAGCGTTGACTGTTTGGAAATTTCACTGTTGTTCTGCGCATTGTTTACAAAATATAATGTTTACAGGTTTGCGTGCGTCGGTCCACATTCCTATTGTCCTAACGCATATAGCCAGGGGGGATCTGCTATAAGTTAGTCAACCTTATCTCCAAGTAGATACAAGAAGAGACTACCTGATATGTCTAGTATCTTTCATTCTTATTTTCCTCAAACTGCCAAGGACATTGAAAATACAATTATATATGTTATATGAAGCAATATCCTAACCAAATAAAATTAAAAAAATCTTGCAAACTGTTAATGGTTGTAACGTTAGTTATTATTTGTATCTCTCCAAAAAAAAAACTTTGAAAAATTGTGTTGACTTCTTGTGAGCTTGGTATGCCCAGGATATCAAAGGGCTTTTTGTGTAAATTACCAGAAGTACTGAACATAGAATGGAGTCAACTGTCTCACTGCATCCAAAAGCAGACTAGTGTGTTTGCCTTTTCACGAATTAAGTGCGCTTGAAAACATATAGTGAGCACTTGAAAAATACTTTGCATAAATAGCTATCCATCTTCAAAACGGAGACTTTTGTTGCATTTTGGCAGCTGTCCTTTTACAAAATAGGGATAATGTATGTAAAATGTACAAATTCATGAGTTATTGTTTGCACCTGGCCATATCAATTTCTTAAGGTTGGTGCTATGCAAATTTCCTTAAATCCCTTGTTGTACAACATTAGAATTGTATTCTCAAATATTTGTTTTACTGAAATATTTTGCATTGAAAGTTGATAAAGGGATAAATTTTATTACGATGGTTGCCATACTACTAGCACAGGGTGGGGTCAAAATTTTTTTCTTTCTTTGAGTCTACAATTTCTTGAACAATAGAACGTACTTGAACCTTTCAAAGCTGTTATATTGAGTAGGAGGGTTTGTATAGAATGACTTTACACGTTTTTGACCAGGCTATTCTATTCAAGTGACCTGTTTCTTTGCCGCAGCGCTTTGGTAACAAAATACTACACAGGCCAGGAACACGGTACGCTTGGACTCTGTACAAAATGCTTGGGGTTACTTAGACTAGCTTACCAGGCTTTAGAATGTGTTTTCTTTTTCCATGTTAGCCATAGTATGTGTTCAAAGGAAAGGCCATCAATGAGCCTGATGTGTGAGGTTAAAGTCTCAATAATTAGTCCTAGGTCACCACCAAATATATCAAACTGACAGATAGACGACAAAAATGTGGTTTTTGTTGTAGCTAATGCATAACTCTAGTGATAATTACCAAGTAACATTTTGACATGCAGATACTAGACTGAGTATATCTATAGTGATTGTTTTATTTTGCTAGTTTTAACACACATTTTTTTCTAGTATATTTACAATTGCCATTTGTAGTATGAGGTATGTTTCTGATACACCAAAGACATTTACCGGTAGTTTTAGTGATACTTTTAGCGTTTTTTTTTCATTCAGATGCATGATCATTGTAATTTCAAAGCCAGATGAAAAAACTTATAATAACAATATGAGCATAAAAACGATAACATGAAGTGGTCAAATTGTTCTAACTTTGACTTATGTCTTGGTGAGCCAATCTTAGATGCTACGTACGTAGTATCTGTACGCTAGTGTGCCTTGAACAAACACGACAGAAAACCCAATAGGGCCGCGTTCTTTGTTCACAAAGCCTGACATGTTTACGGTTAATAAAAACGGAAACAGGATACCATAATACCCAAACAGACCCCCATCCCCATTAGCTGTACTTTTGTGGGGGGCCAGATTTAGTGGTAAATAAAGAAGTGAGGAAAAATAAACAAAATAGCGACCGATATGGTTTATCAGTACATACACAAAAAAGCTGAACGGAAGCATTAAAAAAAGGATTGATTCTGGCTTTTGTCTGCCACTTTGTATAGCAATAAAAGGATTAGAAGAATATACAATTTTTTGGTTGTTACAGTGTAGTTAATGTTTCAAAAATTTCGGCCAGTGTAATGCCCTGGTAATACCTCTTCTTCAATTTTTTTCATGCCAGTACTCTGATTTTCAGACTGTTGCACCACAAAAATTTATAATATGATCATTTTTCTGAATTTTGTAAAGCTTAACCATGCAAAATTGTGATATGGTACACTAAAATCATTAAGACAAGAAATGACCAAAACATTCAATTTTTCTAGAATCCAGAAATAGCTGGACCAGGTACATTTGTATGACAATAACAATGAACTTTATTGAATGCATTGTATTCATACTCAATGCATGCCCAATGCTAAATGCATTAAGTTAGATACAAATTGTATATAGCTAAAGTAGAATGCTAATAAAATAAATTATGCTATGTTTCATCTGCAATGTATATCTTGAGAGACCCTTCAATTTTCTTAATACACCGTGTAGACAAATTAATCGACTTACATTTTTTCAATCATATCATAGTTTTAGATGACATAACAAAACTTTTATATGTGAACATTTCATTCTTAAATCTGTTAAAATTTAAATACGGAATTCTAACACTCTGTTTTTTCAGTAGCGTACAAAGATGGGACGTCTACCAATGGGAAGCCGCACGTCGCACGTGCAGGGCAGCACCGGACCTCAGTACAGCGTTATGAACTTCTACTGTACCCAGAATTCCACCACGTACGGACAGGAGGGATTCAAACCCCGCACCGGGAAACATGTGGGCACCGGCTACCAGTCCAACTTCAGGCCTGGTGTCTACTACAGCAGACATTTGGATGAGCTGGATAATCCAGAAATGGGGTAAGTATCCCTCCTTTCTTCCACAAAAATCTGATACGAATGTTTTTCACAATGGTTCAGAGGCAGAGAAATGCTACAAAAGTCATGCCCTACCTTTTCTACAGCCACTTATTTCACTATTATGGTGTACAAAGCACAAAATATATAATCATTTGCAAAATGTAATGATAAAAAATGACCAAATGGCAGGAGAAGAAACATCAGGGAAAACAATATATTTCATCCGTACCAATGTATGGAGTTAAATATAAAAAACTGTTCACCAGAAGTCGTAGTGTATTTTTCTGAATTATAATAGTTTAACATCTTTTTTCCACTCACTTTTCTTTCTGTATTTCTCTCTCTCTTTGCTTCCTCCTTATAAAGAGTAACTATTCACTGGTTATTGTATCAACAATTTGCATTGTTATGTATGGATGGCAGTTCAGCACCAAGGAGAGGTCTCAGCTGAACAAAACGAAAAAGTCATTCTTTTTTTACAATAGGAAAGTCAATCCTGTATATTGTAATGGATACTCATGCCAACACTTGCAATATCGCTTTCAGCCGCATTGTGGCAAGAAACTACAACACGGTGACGAAGCTACACTTCCTGCCGTCCAAGGGCTCCGACGGGAGAGACCCGCTACCCAGGAACATCCACATGAAGGGGAGTGGCTTCGTACGGCAGACGCCAATCACCACACCAACTGTGGCTGAGGTAGGTTTCTCTGGAACTGCAGTTCTGGGTCATTTTGACAGGTGGCACTGCTGACTGGTGTATGTTCGTAGAGCAGAAATCCATTCCTACGCCAACAGTGGCTGAGGGGGATTTCCTCGTATTACTGCATTACTGCAGTTTTGGGTCAGTTTGATAGGTGGCATTGCCGACTGGTGCTTAGATCCTTTATACTGTGACGATTGCCAAACTGTTAATGGACTGAGTGTATTTAAACTTTATATGCTAGCAATTTAGCTTTAATAGTGGGCTTTCACAAGTGTTTTAACTTGAAAATTTGATGCATGTAACAGTTAACAATCGGCGACACAAAAATCTGTCTGACAAGTATGAAATGTTGACCTTATTGGAAATGTTTGGAGAGGAAGAAGCAAAATTGCTACATGTATCTCTTTTTTACCGACAGGTTCGTAAGGTCCATGTTGACACCCATCACACGGCACCTTTCTCCATCCTGCCCAAAGCCAAACCGCTGCTACACAAAATCCAGTCTAAGGACCCAGTAGAGCTGGAGAATGGCAGTTTTGGGCCTGGTTTCATGACTACTGAGACTCACGTCAGGTTTGATGGCAAACCTATGGAGAAAAGTGAGTCCCTACGGTGTTAGTTATTCTCTGTTTCAGTCAGTCAGTTATTTAGTCATTCATTCAGTCACTCATTTAGTCATAGAATACATTCAACTGTTACAATTGTTGTACAATAAACCTGACTTTCTTCTTTATTTGTCAAAAAAAAATGCAATAAACAATAGATAAACAGTCACAGGAGAATTTGAACAAAGTAGCTAGTTTTCATCATCATCATCATGCCTCTGGATTATACTAATCCGGTGAGGTACACTAGTAGCTAGTTTTGATAACTAAAAAATTGATTTCTGTCTTGAAATGCTTAATATGGATGGCAGATCAGCACCTTGAAAAATACTTTTCTACCTCAGAATCAGCTTCTGATACTTATTTCTGCCCATTGCTATTCAATAGAAAATGATAACATTGCATGCATTTTTGTTGCCACCGTAATACATGAAAACACACGCCATATAGATTTTAGGCAAAATTGTTAATTTGTTTTTTGCTGAAGTGAATTGTAAACAAATGTTGTTGTTTTCCTTCTGCAGCTGATTTCTACCACAATTCTATCGGAAACAAGGAGGAGTCTGGGTTCACACACGCGTACAACGTGGAGCCTGTCACCTTCCACCCAGGATCCCCACACAAGGGGGAAATGCCGGTACGTCATTGGTGGAGAGAATTCCTACTGTCTATACAATGATTTGTAAAGCTCATTAGATACCAGAATCATACTGCCGCAAAAATCTTCCTATATAATCTCTTGCCAACTTAATGAAATTATTCACTGGTTTTCTATATGACAGCAAGGAATCATAAATCTTTTGTTTACTGAATTGTTGCCAATTTTACTTAGGACCTGTGAAAGTGGGGCATATCTTAGTAGTCTGTACAGAGTTAACAGAGGTTGCTTCTTTGACCACAGGGTTGGATGACGGACCGCCCGACAGGAGTCAGTATCATGAAGACAAACTTCTTGAGGAGTGAAGACCCGAGCGGGAAGGAGCCCCTGCCTAACGTGGCAGACAGAGCCGTGAGAGACACAGGCTTCACGCATGAGACGGCAAAACCACAGTTCCTGGGACATCCTGCTAACGTATGACTGTGTGCTTTGTTTCATAGGTTCCGTCCTTCCTTACGTCTTTGGTTCCCTTTTTCATTCTTTCCTTCCTTCATTCCTTCCATCCTTTTCTCTTCATTCCTTCCTTCCTTCCTCCCTCCTTTCCTTTTTCTCCCTTTCTTCCTTGTGTCCTTCCTTCCTTCTATACTTTCTTTCTTCTTTGCTTCTTTCCTTTCTTCCTACCTTCATTCTTTCCTTCCTTTTTTCTCCATTCCATTGTCTATTCCTTCCTTCATTCCTTCCATCCTTCCTTGTCTGTTTCTTTTTTTTACCCTTCTAAGCCAAAGTTCCATGACTATCCTTCTATGTTTGTTCACATGTAGCTATAAGACTTTGAGACCTTTCCTTGGTACTGAACTGGCATTCATAACAATGCAATGCAAAAGGATAAATATAGTTACTGTAGTAATATTTTAGTAGAACACCACCTACAGTAAAGATACTAACAATGTACTTGTACTGTTTTCCTACAGGCCTTTACCAGAGTTGACCAAGTCCCCAGTTTGGTAGCAGAGAGAACTCGGAAGAATGACCCAGCTGAATATGTCAACATGGCCGCCCCCAACAACCATTCCAGGTAAAATACAAGTTCTTAAACTTCTCCCTGCTGCCTAACTCTGTAAGCAATAGAGAATTGGTAGCCAAACAGCTACTTAAGTCTGCTATAGGTTAAATCCCATTTCTTTAGGCACAAAAATGTTTTTGAATGTATTCTTTGGTTTCCTATCATTTTAATACCACATTTAATTGACTGCAACTGCCTGCAGTACACTCAAGCAGTCAGTAGATGTCTCTTGGGTACCAAATCATTCTCATTACCTATATATTCATCATACATATGTCATCACCAAAGCCAAAACTGGTGTGTAATGAAAGTAAAGTTGCTGCATATGCAGATTTCTCATACGGTGAAGATTATGTTTTTTTTTATGAGTTCTAATTTGATTGTTGTTGTTTTGCAGCCTGACGAAGAATTGGTTCAAGGGCGCTCAACGAGAGACACCGAGCGAGACAGACCGACTGGGTAGGACTGCTGTAGGGTGGCAGGTGGGAAACTGTTTCTGTCAATCATGCAAAAAATGAGAGCAAAGCAAAAGGAAGAAAGGAGAAAGAAAGAGAAAGGCAGAAAGAGACAATAGCCATTGTTTTGGAAGTTTGTAGAATACAAAATCAGGAAAAAAAGTTAAGATTAGAAGGGTTAGATTCATCAAATTTGTGACCAGTCTTCTAGTCTTTTTCAGGATAAGAAATCATTCAAACCTTGTGTTGGAAATTGTTTAAGTCTTGTTGTTCCATAATATTACTTATTGATCAATAGATTAGCATTCACGCTAAAGTACAATCGTTGTTTTCATGTCTTTTCAGGAGCTCTCAGGCTACAGTGCCAACAACGACCGTTATGTCCACCAACCAGAGACCCTGGAAGACCTACAGAGATTTGTCACACACTACAAGATCAGGTGAGCAAAATTTTGGCGCTTCCACTTTAAAAAAAATGTTGCTTTACCAGTAGTGATGCTGCCACTTCTGTATTTCTGTTAAAATAATTATATTATAGGTCTGGGGAAAAAACAAATGTTTAAACACCTCAGTTCATTAGCGTTATGTATTGTGAATTCTGGAGAGAGATGTCTACAGCCACCATGGAAGAGTTTCTGATTCCCCCACGGATACCAATCATCTGTTTATTGATTTATTGATTGATTGATTGTAAATACTTTGCTTTTACCAGATTCCATGACAAGAACCCTGAGGGAATAGACCGGGAGGGTCACACCTGGGGAGGGCTACAGGAGCAACTTCCTGACGGTTTCACCAAGAGTACAGCCGTCCACAGTTACGGACCTGCAATCCACACCACAGATACCCTCCGCAGGCTACATCCATATGTGGCAAGGTGAGGCCCTCTTGCCTTATTTGGCATGATGTAATTAGGTCCTGACCAATCAGCTTCTTGCTGTTGTTAACATCTATGAACTTGCCTTATAAGGAGAGAGCTAGGCTAGAGTCCATCCAATCAGCAAGCAGCACATTAATGAGCTTGCCTACTTTGGTGTGATCTAGTTTTTAGCCAATGAACACCCACCTCGATCTAGATTTTAGCCAATTAGCACCCACATTTTAAAGTATCAATGGAGAATTTGTTCTTATGAAACAAAATAGTCAGTTTAGGGTAGAAGAGCTAACAAAAATGCTTCCATTTCATTCATAGCTTCAAAGAGATATTTCATATCTGATTCAGTACTTTCTGATTTTAACATCTTGTTTTTACTGTTATGTGTTGGGAACATATCCTTTTCCACTGTAATTTTATAATTTTTTTCTTAATTCAATTTTTTCAGGAGTATTAAGGGGACCGACCCATTCTATGATGACCACACCCATGACAGCAAAATGCACTCAGAGCTGAGATCATCACTACCCCCCATCATGGCATAGAGATGGAACGTTCCAACCCAATCATGTGATTCCAGTTACTGTAGTGAAAGACAAAATGTCGGAAACACTTTTTGAAAAGAAAAATGACTTTATCAGAAGTATTTTTGGTGTTTTACTCATTGGCGACATCAATATTTTATTCAGAACATCAACCGGAAACATACAATTTAGCCTTAGTGTTTATGTACCATATATAATATTATATAAGCTTGGAGTTTTCTTCAATAATCAACCAAATAAATACTGATTTGTATAAAGGTAAGACAGTTATATGAAGGATATCATATGAACAGACTCTGTATATATTTCATTGTAGTGGTTGATTTGTGATGTGTGCATTTTTAACTGGTGAATCTATTGTATTATTTTAACACAAAATATTTCATGACCTGTATATTTGTTTTACACCTATGCAAGATTGTATCAGTGAGAATATTTGTTGCTGGCAACATGAACAGTTGATGTGAATTCAGGTTCATGATATCAGTTTTGTGAGCGACACTCTACAATGCAAAGAGCTGCTATGGATGTGTATTAAGAGGAACGTGTCTATTTTATGTTTTATCTAGTATGATTATATGTAAAGCTTTACTCAGTGACTACAAAATATATTGTATTTTACCTTCTTCCAAGTGTGTTGTATTTTGTCATTTTTTTAAATTTAGATGTATCATACCTAGATCTATATATAACTTTTACATGAGGATCCACTCAAAAATCTATAATATTATGTGCTTGGATTATAATACCGTACTTACATGATTGTATCTTTAGGTATGCATTTAAGAAAACACACATCACACGCCAGCTGTATTAATATTCAAGACATATCTATTAATCATAAATTATCGTAAAACATGTAACTTTATCATTACATCGAAAACATTTACCTTTTGCAACGGCCTTATTACTACTAGTTGGCAACAAGTTACAATGACATACGTTCTACCAAAGTAAGCATTGCCTTTCAATTTTCAGTAACAGGTCTTTTTACTACAAAAATTACTGATCAATTTTACATCAACACAATACAATATATATATATATATAAAGATAAAGATATATATATGTATAATATATACAAAATACACTAAACATATATGCCATATGAAATATATAACTGGGCAATTCGTAACATTGCAAATCATGAGAAGTAAATGTGATAGTTTAGTATATACATTTCTTCAACAACTTGTTTTACTAGAGTCGACCGACATCCTTTTTTATTTCGCCACTTTTACTTCGGTTTTTTCTTCAACTGCTGAATCTTCGCTGGTAATAACAACATTCCTTTCAAATTCATTTGTCTGTTCTTCTTCTATCGCAATGGAGGTAACAACAGTTTCTCCGTTGCAAACATATATATATGTGTGATTAGACGCACATGTGCAGTCAGTATTTGTATAAGTCGTTTCATTGTGGTGAACAGTTTTCTCGTCTGTTTTGTAGAGCAAAGTGTTCTCACTAGGTTTTCTTCCTGTAGTTGTGGTCAGTTCGGCTCCAGTCACTTCGTGTACAACACTTAAAGGTAAAGAATCTTGATATTCGTTCTCAAAGTTCTCACTTTGCGATGCCTGTGCGCTACGAATGTTTTCGTCCGTTGCTTCGTTGCGTCTAGGTTCTGAAGCTGGTTTGCTTTCTCCGTTGGTATCCTCATCTTTTATTTCGGTGTAGTCGTGATTTGAGGGACTGTATACTTCGTCTTCGTTTATTTGATGATAGGTGTTGTCGTCCCTTTGAGGGGAGCCCTGTGTGTCCCTAGCATGGAGCGCTGTTTCTCCAACGATATTACCATTGTACATTGGGTTGCTTTGTAAAACACTTGAGGCGTTGCCTATCGAAATTGGCCCTAAATTTTGGTCAAGTCTGCTTTTATTTCTGGTGCAAAACAGAGCCACTAAACAAATGAAGATAATTTTTCCCGCTAGCAAAGAGCCCACTATAATCAGAGGGACTTTTACATCTGTTGTGCCAACTACATTGGGATTTAGACTAGTGGTTGGCGTGACTGAAAAAAGTGGTGGCCCACGGTCGGTTGCCGAAACTGTACTACCAGTTTTCTGCGTCGTCATATTTTGCTCGTTCTCTCTGTCGGTCTTGTTGTCAAATTTGGTAAGAGATTCGTTGACAAGCATTCCATCTGTTGCTGTATGCAAAACGTTCTGATCGGTTGTATGAGTTTCCCTCACGAAACACTCTGCGTTGTCATGTTCTTCTTCATTCGCGGAAACGTTCAAGAACAAAACGTCTTTCTGTTTTCCAGTGAGGGCAAAACAAGCCACTCTCAACGGTTCTTTCTCCTTTTCTAAATCTTCACTGCCAGGAACAAGTGACTGTTTTGCAAGCTTGCTCACCACGACACTAAAAGCATCCCCTTTTCGGAGAACCTCCTTGACGCTAGTTTTTATTCCAGATACTCTCAAATATGACGAACCCTTAAGGTCGAAATTTAAGCCGCCAGTCTCATTCCATGCCTCCAAACATTGACTCGAAAACGGCGTGTTTGTTTGTTCTCTAGTATTTCTCACTAGAATGACAAAGGGAGAAGAAGAGACAAAATAACCTTGCCCAAAATTCGGGTTAGAATTATGGCAGCTGTAGAAGTCCCTCAAAGCGAGATCACTTTCAAACCATTCAACACTAAATCGTTCATTACTAACGTCATAATTTATATGCAAAGCTATATCATTGATTAACACTCCTATCCAACGCTTTTGTGGGCTGCAAATTTTCAACGATATTTCCCATGGTTTATCATACACAATGCTTGCTTTGTAAACAGCAAGACTTCGTCCGCCAAGATATATGGAAAAGTATCTGTTACCAAGGCCTTGGAATGCTCTTCTATTGAGACATACGAGAGCGTTATTTCTCAAATGAAGATATTCCAGTTGACTAAGAGACTCAAAAGCTCCTGGTATGATTTTTTCAATCTTGTTTTCGCTCAATTGTAAGGTGGCGAGGCTGTCTAGCCCAACAAACCACCCTCCTTGTATTTCTCGCAGTTTGTTATTTCTTAGGTCTAGGTGGAAAAGGTTGTTAAGATCTTGAAAACATCCTGTCTCTAAACTAGAGATCGCGTTGTCAGCTATGGAAAGGTGTTCTAGGTACGAGTGTGGTGCTCCAAACCAGTTTTTGGGAATACTAGTAAGGTTGTTTCGGTCTAGAATCAAATTCTCCAACCGAGAGAACTCTGCAAATGTCGCATTGCTTAGTTTGGTTATCCCTACATCAATGAGGAACAGATTTTCAAGTCCCGTAGGATCGAGCTCAGCTAGTTTTCGCGACGAGAGAGTTCCGAATCGAAAACCTGCCAAAGCGAGCCATTCTATGCCCTGTAAACACCTATCTGTTGGCTTTCTTACAGTTTCGACTTGATATCTATGGTCACAAAAGACACACTGCGTAGCGTGCCTCAGGTGAATGGTAGATTGGGGTCCGTTGTCGTTAACCATCTTGTCGGGTGGAACGCAAGACGTAATCGCTTTCCTTTGACAGGTGGGAAAGCATTCAGGACTTGCCGCAAGATTTGAAACTACCGACATGGAAACAACGAACAGAAAGCCCAAACTTGGCTTCAATAGCGAATTCATTGTCATTGTCAAATCGTTAGACTATGCGCAAATCTTTTAAGTTTGTTTAAAAATGCGTTGGTTTTTTCAGTTGAAACCTTCTTGTCTTAAATGTCCCGTAAGTCTTAATTGGGCCGTAATTTTGTGTAGTCCTTATCTCTAAGTCCCGAAAATGTGTTATATTCAAGAAAGTATTGTCGTATATACGTATACAGTACCAGTAGTTATGTGTACAGTATTATTGTGATGATTTTCGTAAAAATTAACACAATTCAGACGTATTAAAATGTACCTCAACTGATGTTTGATTTTACAATGATACTGAAATTATTGTCAATATTGACTGAAGAATTCGCGGCAAAAAATTCACATAAATATGTCTTTTGTAGAGAGTAATTATTGAGGTAGGCAAACGAACAGCGATAAAGTTTTTGTATACCTTCCTGCTGCGGACTTCGGATGGTTCGAATCTGCGGTTAAAAACGTTGCACCTCGTGTATGAGCTCGGTTGACCGAAGAGTAAAAAGTTGCCGATACGCCAGCCTGGCCAATCCTTCCGATTCTAGAGATTCTGAAGCAGCGATAGCAAAAAGGTGCGTCTCCAAAAGTTCTTTCTCTCCGCTATTTTCTTCTTTGCTGTCGAATGCTGCGTTGACACTGATTTGATGCGTTCAGATGGTGAATAGGATGCCGCTTTCTAGCAAGCCAAGAGTGTCGACAGTGACGAGACAGAATTCGAAGAGACACTGCTAGCTTATCCTCCCAAACTTCTAAATTCATCCACAAAACCCAGACTTATTTGAGGACGCATGATTGACGACCTAGATAGCATCACAGAGAAGATTACCAATACATGCGGGCAGTACATACGTATCAACCACCTGGTCGGAGGTAAATATTAATGAATATATCACCATATTGACTTTTGCAATGTTTACGAGATGAAGCTAAAGGAATGTGTGTTGTTCATGAAAGAGCATCAAACCACAGTACTTTTGCATGACCTATAAAAGAGAGTTTCTTATGTTATGTTATGTTATGTTATGTTATGTTATGTTATGTTATGCTATGCTATGCTATATGCTATGCTATGCTATGCTATGCTATGCTATGCTATATGCTATGCTATGCTATGCTGTGCTATATGCTATGCTATGCTATGCTATGCTATGCTATGTTATGTTATGTTATGTTATGTTTATGTTATGTTTATCTGTTATGTTATGCTATGCTATGCTATGCTATACTATGCTATGCTATGTTTATGTTATGTTATGTTATGTTATGCTATGCTATGCTATGCTATGCTATGCTATGTTATGTTATATGTTATGCTATGCTATGTTATGCTATGCTATGCTATGCTATGCTATGCTATGCTATGCTATATGCTATGCTATACTATGCTATGTTATGTTATGTTATGTTATGCTATGCTATGCTATGCTATGTTATGTTATGCTATGCTATGTTATGTTATACTATGCTATGCTATGCTATGCTATGCTATGTTATGTTATGTTATGTTATGTTATGTTATGTTATGTTACTGAATATACTGAATAGTCTTTCTCGCGTATTCCGCTCAAGGTGGGCTAAATGCACATAACCATGTTACTGAAGCAAAAAGAAATGCTTTTTTAACAGTTGTATTTTTTCCTTTTATTCTTCTGTTGTTTTACTTCTTTTCATAAGTTTATTTTGACTGCAAATTAAATTCGATACATGTATGAGCTCGAGGGATTGCAACGTGTCAGAAAATATATGTTAAAAGATAAAGCTAAACACAAGAACCAACTTTCAAGCTTATCTAATGCATAACATGACCCAGACGTTTCAATACTAAAATGACACACGCACAGATGAAGACGACTTAAAATATTCTGTAGGGAAATATTTATTCATAACTGGAGACAATAACAACTTTTCTCAATGTTTAATTGATGCAGTATTTTCAGAAACTAATACGACAGATACAACAGAACGCCTGATTGCCCTAGTTTCATATAACATTTAATATTCTGAGGGAGGGCATTTATTCAGCTAGAGATATATAACAAGTTTTCCAATGTTTAGTTGATGCAATGTTTTCAGAAGTAATACGTCGGACAAAAGAGCACCTATATGTCCTAGTTCTGTAAAAACTATATGAAGGTCGTCAAGGACTTTTATTTTGTTCTGTGTATTTTATTCCAATATAAACAACAATAATGCAACGAATGGTCAAACCTCGAATGTCAAGTGCGCGAACAAGAAACTAATTATATATAACTTCTCTCTAGGGGACAAAACTGTTTACACATACTAGTACATGGACTAAAATATCGGTCATGGATATCTTGGTTCGCCTGAACGGAAGGCGCTGTCATGGCGTTGTTTATGTTTTAAGCTAATAATAATACTTGTTTATGCAGAAGCAGGAGAACATATTGATATACTGTACATACATGTAGTAGCAGCATTTTCATTTCAAAATCTTTTCTTGCTCGTGAATATAGTATATATGAATTGGATAACATTACAAGTAACACATATATTTTCAAATATAACTACTGCTTGAGGAATTAATGTCCATTGTAATCTTCCACATTCGTATTCTTCTATCGACCAGCATCAAAACGCCATTGAACAGGTGGTTAGGTTTGCCCGATGCGCTTCTTGCTCTTCTCGGCAGGTGTCGTTGGCGCACGGCCATCGCCTTTTTTGGAGTCTAGGTGTCCCTGCAGCTGGGTGATGACGTTGGCCTGCGCCTTGATCTTGACCAATAGCATGTCGATCTCCTTCTCCCTGGCGCGCACGATCTTGTGCACCTCGCCCACCTTCCTCTCCATCTTCTCCTGAAGTCTTTTCTTGGACAACTCGACAAGCTTCTTCTCTTGTTCCATGGATTCTTTCTCCATCTGGACATTTGGATGAGAAATGTTGAAAAGAGAGTCTTAACGGTACATAGAAGCTACAGCATTATTTTGTGTGGAAGCGCATGCCATGTTACATGTTTTCTACACTGGTTAGTTTTGCGTACCGCTACTTGTGACTGTTACAAACCACCCAGAGAGAGCATAGAGTTGTTTTTACACTCTTCAAAGCCTTTTTATAGGACTAGACATTTGGTACATGCATAATATTTCATCCTCTCAAAAATAAAGCACATACACAAACACAAGGAAACTGTCGCTTTTACAGAATGTTATTTTGCAGAGACTTGTTTGTACATCTCTAAACCTTTCAGTACAATTCTGTTGAGGCATTCAGTACTATCATGTATAGACATCCCCCCTCTCAAAAAATAAAGCGCACACACAAAGATACAGACAAACAAAAAACAAACAAACAAACAAACAAACACAGACATGTGAAGGAACTGACCTGTACTCTCTTGACCCGCTTGTCAGACTCCATGCCCATCTGTCTGATCATCTCGCTCATTTTTGACATCTCGTTCTCCGCGAAGTTCACTCTCTCTTCGCATCTCCTGGGGTAGGCAAAACCAACACCATGTCAACGTTTCCGTGTGTTATGGCATGTATAAATGCATGTATTAATGCCTGTATTAGGACGAATCTCGGTGTGATCTTGAAATACTAGTTTTTTTCCTATGTAACTGTTTGTATCTTCTTTACTTTAGCATTTTTATTTGTTTCGTTTTTAATTGTTTTGGGCAAAAATGTAGCCTTGATATTCGGCGTACTTAGATTCCAAACAACAAGGAGGTTCTATTCAACTTGCAAAACTCAGTCACAGGACCAAATGGTACATTTCTTTGATTAATTTTGTAATCCTAGTGATACCATCTATTAAAAAAAATACCCACTGTACGCATTTGCGGAGAAGACTACATGTACTTCTCTAAGAAATGAATGAATTACCTGTTCTCGTCCTTCAGAGCCTTGTTGTTGTGTTCCAGCGCTTTTCGTTCCTTCTTCTGTCTCGCCATTTCCTCCCTCATTTTATGTATAACCTGTCGGCCTCGGTAGTCTTCTGACACAAACCTGTCCTTCTCTAACTTGGCCTGTTTTGATAGAAAGTTGGTAGGTTAGAACTAGAAACGGTTAGTGTTAGTTTACCTGAACTTTACCATTAGGTCAACATGGCAAGGCACAGTTCGGCTAGAACTGAATAATATTGTATACTAGTATTAGCTTTATGACTATCAAGCTTCATGTATTTTCCAGATTTGATTTTGTTTAGTTTGATTTTGTTCTGTTTTGTTTTGTTTTGTTTTGTTTTGTTTTGTTTATCAAAGTTACAACCGTTCGGCATTGCAACTGTCCGTATCGGTGACAGCAACAAGTGGTCTTCTCAACAGCGACTTCTTGCGGAATGGTTCTGAAGTACAGCAAGTGTTTGTTCACCTTTTTCAGCAGATCTCTGGCCTCGTCCCTTTCTCTTGATGTCCTCGCGAGAGTCATCTCAGCCTTGTGCGTTCTCTTGTAGTATTCCACGTTCTTGTCTTTCAACAAATCCGCCTGGAAAATGAAGCAAAAAACGTTATTTGGCGAAAGAAAACAAAACACGACATTCTCCAATACTAGTACTGATATTCGTTGTATTTGTGTACTATAAGAAAAGCATGTTGTAAGAAAAGAAAAAAAAAAGAGATTTAGTAATAACGTACTGCATCTGGCCCTTTTGGACGGACATGCAACAAAGATCATAGTCATCATTTTCATTGCGTATGAATATTCGAATCCTAAATATTTTACTCAGGAGTTTTTTTTAAAGATACCTTTCCTTAGCATTTATTTCACGGACAATGCTAGACTTTTTTTAGCCTGGGTGCCCTAGCGACATTAGGGAGCGGGCGAAAACTACGGGGGATGGCACCCAGGCTAAGACATTTTTTCTATCTCTGACATTTCGTTGTAATATTCTAGTCAAAGATAATCAAAGGTTTGTGTGTGTGGCATCCCATAGCTAGTTATTCACCAACTAACTAGTGTGACACCCAAAGATTTGGGAAAAAATGCCGTGGACTCTTCTAGTGACCTTACCTGAAATTTGTAGTAGTCTATCTTGTGAGTCAACTCTTGCACACACGTTTCTGCTTCCTGCAACAACTTCTTGACGTGGTCGATGTATTTCTCTCTCTCGTCCGAAACTCTGTGCGTTTCCACGATGTACCGGTCTTTCTTTTCCGCGACTCTGTGAAAATCTCTCATGTAGAGTTCCTTTTTCTTAGCAATGTGTCTAGCAGCTGCGATGTACTTGTCTTTTAACTCCATGAGTCTTCTAGAATCTTCGATGTACTGTCCTTTGGTTTCGACCACCCGTTTGCAATCGTCGGCAAATTTGTCATGGTAAACTCTTTCGTCTATGTCTGCTATGGTAGGATGTGGCTTGAACACACCGTTGATAGGAGGAAGCTCTTTCGATTCGTCCGTTATCTTTTTGAATTCGTCGTGAAAGTTATTGGACACGGTGTCCTCCAATGAGGTTAGGGTCTCGTATAGGAGTTCGATGTCCCTCTCGCCGTATTGGACGTTCTCGTAGGTCTCGTTGAGGCTTCGTTCGCGTTCGTTGATGTCGGCTCCCAGGCGTTTGAGGTTCCGCTCGCTGGCTTGGAGTTCTTTGTGATAAGATTTGAATTCCTCTGCGCAAGACCTGCGATAGACAATCATGAATTTGTGTCATTAGAAGACAAACAAAACAAAAAAAAGACAGTTAAACAGTTACACTTATATATATGAAGTATAGTTACTGTAGTAGTAGTAATAGTAGTAGTAGTAGTAGTAGTAGTAGTAGAGTAGTAGAGTAGTAGTAGTAGTAGTAGTAGTAGTAGTAGTAGTAGTAGTAGTAGTAGTAGTAGTAGTAGTGGTAGAGTAGTAGTAGTAGTAGTAGTAGTAGTAGTAGTAGTAGTAGTAGTAGTAGTAGCAGCAGAGTAGTAGTAGAGTAGTAGTAGTAGTAGAGTAGTTGTAGAGTAGTAGTAGTAATAGTAGTAGTAGTAGTAGTAATAGCTGTAGTAGTGGTAGTAGTAGTAGTAGTAGTAGTAGTAGTAGTAGTAGCTGTAGTAGTAGTAGTAATAGCTGTAGTAGCTATAGTAGTCGAAGACTGTACAGGTATATAGTCTCTTCTCATACTTTAAGTACTACATAGCCTCGTGTATATAGTAGCTTAACTTGCTATAATTATAATTATAATAGTTGCTAAGTAACAGACGTTTCCATACGTTGCATGCATCTTACAAGAGCAAGATTTTAATAATCGCACCTGTATCTCTGGGCTATTCTGAGTTCCCCCTCGTCTTCACTCCTTGGCTGGCTCACGAGGTTTCTGGAAGACTTCTCCCGTATTTTCGGCGTGTGAACCCGGTCAGTCCGTTTCCTCTTCTCGGTGCCCCCGGCCGACGTTCCCCTGACCACACCGCGCACCACCGGGTAGTCCCCGCGGGGCGAGTCGTCGTCATACACCGGCGAGATCTCGGTCTTGTCCGCTGACTGCGCCACGTACACCTTGATGCCACCCGGTAACGTTGTGGTCGGCATCGTGGGTTTGTTTTGGTGGCCTGGTACGATATTATGGAGTATCCATGGTCTTCAGAATGAATCCAATGTAGAACAAGTCTGTGAAAATATAGAAATCATTTTTATTTATTCCATCATAAAACGGCTGGGTAGCCCATTCAGCTAGCAGAAGCTGCTTTCCAATGCAGCTCAGCTTACATTTAGTATGATTACATTTAGTCAAGCAACAATATCAAAGGTGGACAGCAGTCAAGTAATCTCACATGGTAATATTGACATTATATCTTAATATTTTCTGGTATAATCAAGGAAAACAATTTCCAAAAATTGACACAGGAAAACAAATCAACAACAAAAAACTACAATTAATATCATCGATGTTGTATGGTAATTCTTGTAAGCATTACTTATTCTCCATATAAACAAAATGATTCACTGGCAAAATAACGGTCTCAAAACTACAATTTGAACGAACAATAAGTGGTTGTTTACGTTATTACATGTTAGGATATTTCCAAGCCTTCTTTATTTTTTCGTCCAAACTGCAAGAGACCTTCTGTGAAAATCTTACGTACATGTATATCTGGCCTGTCTATCATATCTTGAATGCGCACTCAGTGCATTTAATATTTGGAGCATCTACAGATTGCCCCCCTCCCCACCTTTGAAAAAAAATCTTACTTGAGAATTATATTCTTCAACCAAACAACAAGTTGGGCCAGAGAAGGTGAAGGATCTGTTAGAAACAACATGAGAGGAAACTAACAAAACGTTTACATAAGGGGGAAGCGAGGAGGCGAAGGGATCGGTGACATCAAGAACAATGCCAATTTATGTCGCCATTGTACACAACCGGCTAAAACACACAGTACCTTCTGTTACTCACACCTGTGGTACACCCCTGTCACACAGTCAGAAAACCTTTCCCGACCAACAACCAACCAAGGTTCGCTGAAGTTCGGGAGCAGTCTGACCAGATCTAGGCCACGGCTACCTTTTTTTTTACGAATCGAGTCGAATTTGAGGTAAATTGGAGTTAAATTTGACTTCGAACACAGCTGACATACTAAAAAAACACCAGCCAAACATAGCCGAACCTCCCGTCCACACCTGAAAGTTTTAAACATTTTGAAACATTCGGCTGGCGTATCCGAACAGTAGCCGACCTCGCCGAACACCAGCCGACCACACCAGACCTTGCTCCCGACCGACTCCCAACCATGGTTGGGGGAAAGTTCAACTGTGTTTGGGAGGCCATATTCGGCTATGTGTGGCAGTGGCTTTACGTATAGAATAGTACTGAGTCTACCGGCGTTGTATACTTCAATGAAGCTCAAACTTCCTAACCTTAAAGAAAAGATAATATCAGAGGTATGTGCCAATGTATACAGGGGTTCTATAGGATTATGTAGCTTTATACACACACGTGAAAATATCTAAAGTTTTCCTTGGTTTTCGAAGAAAAAGCATCACACTTTAGTTCCTATATACTGCAATTTGGTTGTCAACAGATTACATATCACTTAAGTACAATGATACAATGATTATTAGCAAGAATATCGTTGTTCTTCAAATAATTAGATGTTTGTATGTTCTTTTTTAGTTATTAGGCGAAACACAGAGTGATTTTGAATGTTTAGATCGTAACGAAGTTAAAAGTGACAAAATGCTATAGGAAGTAAACAAGTACATCAGTCATTGATAAAAACAGGTGCGTTTTACGTTAACAAAACACGGACGTCAAAAGTTAATCCTGTTGCCAACCAAACTGCGATGTTGACGATAGTAGCTTCAGGGTCACAGCCTACACTAGACCCAGACAACCGGAACATCAAACAAACACGGTCGCACGATTCAAGGAAGACCCACCTGCGATTCGGCTTTCTGTCGTAACCCCTCTCCTTAGTTACCAAGTTCGCCCGACGACCGTTACACAAACTTCTTCCAACTCCAGGATAACTTACTGAAAAAGTTTGGCGTAACTTTTACGTTCTAGGGCGCAGAATTGAAGGTAAAACGTATCAGCCGGCACACACCCTACCGTGGTTACCATTCTTTATTTTCTAGAAGGCAAAGATCTTAGCCGAACCAATCTACCCTTTCACCCCCGACGCAGTGGAATAATGCCGCTTGTTTGTGCAGGCATTTGATACTGTATGGCTTCTTCAATGGGGCGGAGGAATATAAGCCGCCATGTTGTAATTGAGATGTGGCCGTCCAACGCGGACTCATTCAAAGATGGCGGGTAATGTGACGGGGTTGCCAGGGGCGACTGCCGGGACGGAAAAAGTTTGACAGCAGCCAAACGTAGAGTCAACAGCCCTTAATTTTCACATTAGAAGCCCTTAAAAGTCAGCTCAAACCACAAGAAGACTTAAGCAAGAATATTTCACCGTAGAACTCAATTTTGAATGATATTAGAATTTTCCTAAAGTTGGAAGCAAGCAAATGCAAAGACGCAAGTCGGAGAAATGTTTTCTTTTCAGATGCGTTGCGTTGCGATCGAGGCATAAGGTCAGTAGTAGCCAAGCCTTCTGAAGAAAAGGGAAACTTACCATAAACAAACCGCTACTGTAGCATAAAGCAACTCAGAACGCTGTGGAAACAAACACGTAGCTAAGTTCTTTACTACCCAAAGCTGCCACGTGATTTCCTTCCTTGGTTCCCATGATCTTTTGACCGATGGTATTCATTAAACCTGCCACAACAAAACATAACTGTTATTAAATTTCCATCGTTACAAAGAAGAGCGAAGAAGCCGAATCTTTAATCTACTAGTATATCACTATACCGTGCTGTACTTTGCCTACATATTTTAACGTTTTCAAAGTCTTACATCTTTCTTTGTGACATGTATTTGCTAGCTAAATATGGAAAAATGAAGGTCTTTGTTTCATTAAACAAAGGGTGATCATGCATGAAATAGTTTACATAATCTTGAGGATATCATAATTATACCAGTTTTATGATGCGGGTGTCATCAAATAGTTAGTGACGAAATTGATTCTTGACTAGACATATCTCGTCACAGTTAACCTGGTTACCTAGTTAATGGATCATTGGTGCTGTTTATTGATAAAGTGGCAGTTTTCTTTGGAGAGCAGAGAACCTTTAACCATGTTACCGAGTCAATTGTGTCTTATCTATAGACACTTAGTGGACAAAGAGGAACAGGAAATGGAGCGCTAGTATTGATGAATTTTGCGGCTTGTTACAAGAAAAAAAAGTATACCTACAGTAGTCCTTTTACATCTTTCAGTATATGGAGCAGTGCCAATCTCTGTATCTATAGCCCTTGGGCCACACAGTTGTACAGTAGGAGGCTAGTCCACTGGTGATGGTTTATATTTTCAACTTCTTATAATTCATAAAGGTGCGGTCTTGGTTGACTGATGGTTGCCTGGCGTTCAAGAGTATGTCAGCGGTGTCCGGGGGGTCAACTTTGACTCAAATTTAACTAAAATTTTATTCGAATCGTAAAAAAAGTAGGCGTGGCCTATCTGGCCAGAATGGTCCCGAAATTCAGTCAACAATGGTTGGGAAGGTGGCTGGGGAAGGTTCTGAATGTGTGACGGGGGCTTCACTCTCGAAATACACAATATTCATGTAACGCTACATGTCGAAGGGTCAAAGACCTTTGACGTCTGTGAACTTTTTAAAAAACCTAGGCCTAGTTTATTCTCTGTCACAGTCATTCTTTTTTTGTCACAAACTGTCAAAAAATCCCTCGTTGAAAATCCCTTCCCCCTTCTAAGAAAACTGTGAGGGTTTTGCGTAAGACCCTCTTTTGTCCGCCCGGACCCCATTTGAGAAGTTAGTCACCCTTAAATGACGTATGTACGAGGCGTAACGACGTCTTAAGTGGTTGCCCGCTTGCACAAACAAGCGAGCCCACACAAACAAGATTTGTCACCGCTGACAACCAATATGTTACGTGACTCCGGGGATTTCAAACCTGTGGGTTTTCAATCTAAAGATTTGGCATCTGTACGTTTCATTTGAAAGTGTGAAAAGTACAAAGAGTTTGAAATATTTCTCCTTGTGAGTATATCTCTGAGAAAAAATGACGATGGTTATTTATAAACTGTGATCTGTAGTTTTATTTTCAAAGTACCAAAAGTGCGAAGAGTTTAAGCCTGAAATACCTTTTTTTTAGTTTCTCTGGGGGAAAATGATAATGTTTATTTGTGAATTGTGATCTGTTGTTTTCCTTTCAAAGTGTCAAAAGTTCAAGCTTGGAGTTTGAACTATTTCCCTTTGTGACTTTTTTCCAAGGAAAAATGACGACGATAATGATTTGCAAATTGTGATCTGTAGGTCCCTTTGCGAGAAGTCTGGAATACCTCTTTTGTGAGTTGAATATGTAGGGATTCGCTTCCATACTTTCAAAAAGAACGCCGCTTTACGTTGTCAACTTTGTAAGGAGTAAGCATTCACTGATAACACACCATGACTGAAATACTAGTGTGAAATACCCAATGTGGGTACTTTTAAGAGGTAGGGTTTATCTGAAAATTACTAACCCGTATGTTGTGTATGCAGTGCAGTGTTGTTATTGTGTTGGGCTATACGGGGGGGGGGGGGGATTTTCATGTACATTGTAGCAGGTTGGTTTAAACAAGGATTTAAAGGCCAATGACCGCAGGAATTTTCTCTGCCTGGCCACAAAAAAATAACAAAGAAAATCTGCCACATGTTTGGGGGCGAAAAACTTGGGGGTGAAAGGTACAGGAAAGGTGACGATATGTGACGTAAATACACAGCGTCATACGTATCAGTTATGCTCTGAGAATAGTGACTGCGCAGTGACGTCACATCCGCCATCTTACACGCTTCTCGATGGCAAAGAACGGTGTTGACTTCCGGTCTGAAACTTTTGGAACTCAATGAGGCGGAACCCGGGTACTCTTTCTTCTTTTTCTTTGATCCGTGAGCGTTCTGTGTACCCTCGCTGTATATAAAGCCTATCGCGTCTTGGCGAGGGCCACAATCTCAGCGGAAGGGAAGAGACTGCAGGCAAAATCCAAGATGAACTTCTTCTTTTCCCTCGTGCTTGTGTCGGTGTTGCTGTCCGCTGACGGTATGCCTATGAAGGTGAGATATATATATTTTACTAAAATATATTCTACTGAAATATTATCTAATTAATTAAAATTAATATGTAAGCACAGAGATACGTGTAGCTGTTCCCGTAAAATCATTTTCAAGACGCGAAAACTGCATGAAAGTTATCAGGATATTGGGTTTTTAAAGCGTCTAGCTTATATTTTTTTCTTCCTTCACGTCAGCATTTGGACATGGGGATTATCTTTTGTACTTCTTCCTGATTTTTCAATGCAAACTACCTAGGTACCTGTAATGTATGTGGAAAGAACAACATAAATTTTCGAACAATTCAGGCGCCAAAAGTTGCTGCAAACTACGGAGCAAAACTTGAGAAAACTATGGAGATATAGTGTGTGCACATGCAAGTCAATTGATAAGAATAAAATTATTTGTACCTTAAGTTTAATATTAATCATAATCTTCGACGAGTAAAGTCCTTAGGCTGCAGTACTAGTACATGCAACCCCAGCAACCGTTTTTATTCAACTCCGCCGAGGTCGCTACAGCCTCTAATTCTTGATCAAATACTTTTTCACCGCCACATGTTTCAAAGAATGAGAAACGTCAATCTTTGAAAAAAAAAGCTGTACTTAAATGTGAAATTCTTGAATTTTTTTAGGATTTAAAAGACGTCGATTCTGCCGATGACATAATACAGATGGTGAAATCTGTGTCTGTTGACAAGGTAAGTTTTTATGAATCAAAAATAACATGTTAGGAAACATCATTCTTTAATATTTGCGTCGTATATAGCATTTATAATGCATCCTTTTTCACTGAATGGGTAACCAAAGTTGACTGCATAACCTATGACTTTCTAAACTAGAAGATGGCCCGCGTAATGCGTAAGAATAGTTTGAAGGACGATTAAAAATAAAAGTTGCCGAGTAAACATCAATAAAATTCGTTTGAACTACCAATGCGACTTTTGATAGATCAAAGTTGTTTGACGGCCGGTCGTCTACTAGGTTGAAAATATGGCGTATAGCAAAGTTTTAAAAGTTCAAAAGTTGGGCGGCGCCTATCTCCGTTCATTAGCCCCGAGCCACACACAGTAATCACTACAGTAGGGGGCTAGTCCACTGGTAGTGGTGTGTGTTTAACTCCCATACTCTTTCCCAAATGCTGAGTGCTACGCAGAGAAAGCAGTGTGTACAATTTTGGTATGACTCGGCCGGGGATCGAACTCACGACCTACCGAATGCAAGGCGAGCACTCGACCCACTAGGCCATTGCATCGGTCTAGTTTTAACATTCTACAAAATAGCGTCGTCAAAATCACACCCAGTGTTTGAAAACACGGCAGGGGTTTTTACCTTGCCGCTCCAAAACTGCGTCTTCATGATCAGTACTTGCAAAAGATATCTCAATTTTATTGAATTTTTAGCTCCAATTGAAAAGGCAGCTCAACCTTCTATAGAATGCGAGTTAGTCAGCCTTGTTGCTTATTTACACAAGCCTCCGCAGTTGTGTGATTAAGTGTTCACTGTCACGGAAACGTCGATCCTTCCCCTTTTGTGTTCAGGTTATGCCGGTCTGGTCTCAAAAATCCCATTTTATCCACTTCCTGCCAACAATATCGTCTGTTTATCCCCCTGATTTAACTAACAGGGACCCTCAGAACAAGGGATTATTCGCAAATGCCAAATGTAGGTGCTAAAGCTTAGAAGTTTATAGAATGAACGAGTTTAGACTATATATGCATGTTTGTTTGACATTCATTGTCACCCCCGGGCCCATCTAACTACGTTCTGAAAATTTATCTGCTCTACAGGCCAAGGACACAATATGGGAAAGAAAATATTACTGCTCTTTGTAGGAATAAGATGCGGCCTTCGTTTCAATAAATTTGTAATGGCTTAGAAGCATGCTTGTCTATTTTTAAGGAAAAATTAAGCTTGCTTAAAGGTAACGTACGCAAAGGTAGGTAAAGCTACATACGCATCCTCGTATCCTTTTGTTTGTTTTAGGTACATCTCCCTGAGTGTTCCCAGAATCCATAATAAAATGAGGTTTAATAAAGCATTGCACTATTAGCTATCGAAAAAAGCATTGCAATTTTAGTTGGACGTATAAAGTTTGAAATGATTTTTTTGCAGAGCGCACAAGAGGAAAGTGAGTACGACATTCGTCCCGAGGAGCGTGACGATTCGGGCGCCCTGATGGAGTCGGACATCAAGCTGACCCCGGAGCAGCAGCTTATTCTGGACGCGCGGATTCAGGAGGCGGAAACCGGGAAGAGCGGGCGGAAGGGGACCGCAAATATCGCCGCTAGGTGGTCCGGGAACGTGCCGTACACGCTCAACAGTGCACTCAGTAAGTTGCCTTTAGCGAAGGCGCTTTATGGACTGCTTTTGTGTGTGTGTGTGTGTGTGTGTGTGTGTGTGTGTGTGTGTGTGTGCGTGTGTGCGCGTGTACGTACGGTGTGTGTGTGTGTGTGACTGTGTGTGTCTGTCTGTCTGTGTGTATTTGTGTGTTTGTGTGTGTAGGTGTCGACTAAACGAAGGATAAGTTCGATTATAGGCAACCTAGCGGCTTCCTATGGTACTTCAGTAGAACGGTCAATTTTGATATCTCATGTTTTGGACACGCTACTAGTATGTTCATGTTTTTTTCGGTTTATCTTTTAATCATATGTTGCAGTCTATACTCAAAGTATAGCAGCTGTATAGTGTTGTTTTGCTTGGTTAAATTTTTGAGTTCTTCAAACTACAACTTTTTCCATTGAAAGGCTCCCAGGCGCGTGAGGGTATCTCTGCTGCCATCCAACACTGGGAAGACAACACCTGCCTCCGGTTTCAGCAGCTCAGCGGGACGATCCCTTCAGATCTCAGATACATCGAGTTCTTCCCGGAAAACGGGTAAGTATCTTATCTCATTTTTATTTTATGAAGATTTACCACATTCGTGGAAGGATTGACATAACAGGTGATTATCACCTCTTCAAGATGTCAAACCTGTGACCAGACTGTAAGGTTTGAACCACTCACACCGGGAAGGTCCCCTACTCTTTTCGATAAGCGTGGTGGATTCTTTAACGTGCGTAGGGTGTGGCTCTCCCACGGGACCGCCATTTAACGTCCTATCCGAGGGACGTCCCTAGCCGAAGCTAGGTACTCATTTACACCTGCGTGAAGTGAGGAAAGTCGTGTAAGTGCCTTTCCCAAGGGCACAAGATCGGTGACACCGGGCAGGATTCGAACCCGGGACCTCTTGGGCCTGCTGGGCCAAACACGCTAATCTTATCATTTCTAAGTATAATGACCATATCATCATTATCATCATTATTGCATTCCAGACCCTTATATTATGAATTACAGAATATTTTTAGCTGCTTTATTTACACTGCTACTTCGCAAACTTGCAATGCATAGTACCGACTTTTTTTTTTCCATTTTGTACCATATTATGTCGTATTGTGCCAGTATGTAATTTTTTTCTGATGTGAAATTTTGCCACATAGCTGCTGGTCGTACATCGGGAAACTCTCCAACTCTGGACCGCAAAGAATCTCCATTGGACAGGGCTGCGAAGGAGTAAGTATGGCAAAGACGGAAAACCGTCACGCATTTTCATTCGTACGCGTGTTGAAGTCTTGTAATGTTACTGTTTCTATGTTATGTTTTGCATCATATATATTGAATTTTCCAAGGTTGTTTGGGTCAAGTTAGAACACTTTTCGGTCGCAAGTTTAGGTTCCTTGTTGACGATCTTCGGGGGAAGCAATATAATTAGCCTGGATACCATCCGGATTTTCGCTCCGCAACGCTCGAAAAAAAAAATGTAGAAATATTTTTTTCGAGCGTTACGGAGCAAAACTCCGAATCGTATCCAGGCTAAGCCCTAATGAAAAAGTTAACTTTTGTTTCAAAACGACACTGTGTATCTGTTCTCAGATGGGGACAGTGGCGCATGAGGTCGGACACGCCTTGGGGTTCTTTCACGAGCAGTCCAGACCCGATCGGTAAGACACATTCTGTAAAATATTCAAATTATACTAAAGATTTACCTTTAACCAATCCAGGCATGGTCTTTGCCTAGTCTCTACCCAACCTATCGGTCGAGCGGAATACGTTGTAGTAAACGTAGCCTCCTTTAATAGCAGGGTCTACCATGCTTCTTTTTCAATACTGACGGCATATCTGTTCTAGGTACTCTTTTTCTTGTGGACACGGCTCCCGTAGACAGATTACCAAGAACGGATAAAAGACATTCTTTCGAGAGCAAGTATTCGTAGGAGTAAGAACGGCGTGTGTTTGTTCTATAGGAAGAAACGTTTTGGCAACAGAAAACTTAAATTTGTGGGTGACCTAATTTGAATGAAGAATGTCAAATGTGTACATTTTGTCTCTTACGGTAGTGAGCAAGGCATCGGTGTTTATTTGCTTGGAGAAATTGTCAAGAAGCTACAATGGCGGATCTGTGACAAATAGCTATCGCATCAGTGGACCTTTTTTGTGCCATAGCAAGGAAGCCAGGCTTTTCTTCGTGAAATGCCAAGCGTGTCAATGTTTTGAACACAAAGTCTCCAGTACCTGCTCTTTTCTTCTTAGCCTTAAAGATATTACATAGCATTCAACCCTTTTTGTACCAGAATTGTTTGGAAGGTCTATCAAAAGTTCAGAACTATAGATCAACACATTGTTGTAACTTTCAAGTTGTTTCATTCCTCGTTGATACAATCATCGTATATATTGGGGCCCGGGGGAGGGGTAACATATTTCTCATACCTCCTTAGTATCAAGTGTAGCGTGTTATCTTGTCTTTGTAAGTGAAGATTGTTATCTCTGTCAGGGATGACTACGTCGAGATTGTGTTCAGCAACATCCAAAGCGGCAGAGAGGGGAACTTTGAGAAGTATGGTCACGACGAAATCGTCAGTCATGACGTGCCCTATGACCTCACATCCATCATGCACTACGGTGGAAAGGTAAGCCATTTTATTTTGAGCAAAAAGATGCATGTTATATGCATGTGAAAGGTAAATGAAGTTATGATATACTCAAAATTACACGTAAATAAATATAAACACGTGTGTAAGCCCTCTACTTCAAGGGTTTGACCGGTTCTGTACCCGCTAGGCAGGACTCAGGTTGTTGTTGCATGCGTCTTTTTAGTTGGGGACGTAACAACTTAGTAGTACTAGTAGCATTGGGAGGTCCTGCGTTAGCCTGAAAAAGAAGCCAACGTAAACAAGTGCTTTTATAAAAAGCTGTCGTTTGCCTAAAAAAGAAGTCAAGGTAAAAAACCCTTAACACATTGTCACAAAGCGTAGGGGCTGTTTCTTTTTAACTGGTTGAAATATTTAAGCTATATTATTTTCTTTATGATTAGTACTTTTCGGCCAATGGCGAGCTGACTATCCGAACACGTGACCCAGAGAAGCAGAGCCTGATCGGGAGACGTGACCGCCTCAGCTTCTACGACATCAAACTGGCGAACGCGATGTACAACTGTGGAGGTAGGCCTGTCTTCACAAAGTTTCTAGAACTATCATCTAATTTCAGTGGTAATGATATTCAAGAGGACATGTACAGCGATGGGGATGGTTGGTAGGAACAAGACGGTTTAAAACTTTAAACCTCCAGGATAGGAATATTGAAAATCATTCGTAAAATTCTCTCTCCTCATTCTATGACAAATGTCCAACCATCACAACCTTAAACTGTTGTTCGCTTAGATTCCGCCAGGTAGCGCTACAAAACAGTAGCAAAACAGTACAGATAGTCGTGCATTCTGTGATTGCAGCGCACTGTAACGTGCAGCTGGCCTGCGAAAGCGGTGGGTACGTGGGACCCCAGTGCACATGTGCCTGTCCCGTGGGGCTGACGGGAGAGACATGCGGTAGTGTGGACACCTCTTCAGGTACAATATTGTTTTTTTTCCTCATTTTCCTTTCACATACAAGAATGGTGTTGTCCATGGTGCTGAACGCCATTCATAGAAGATACAAATTTACTCCGGATTATAGTCAAGCTTTGTATGTTTTATATCAAGCTCGTCAGAGATACTACTTATCTAGCTGATATCTACTCTAACGTCTACAGTAATTCTTATAAGTTTCGAAACTAACACTACACTATTTCATAAAGGTGATATAACATGGAACATAGCTTACATGATAATATACATGTATACAGGAACTGCATAATATAATAACACTAAACAGCATATCACTGGTTGTTCAATGACGAAAGATAGTGGATGCTGTCTAAAACGCCTTACCGTGTTAGTGTATAGAGAATGTATCCAGATGCTTCATTTATTTTGTAGTATGTAATGTTCAAGGTTGCTGTCCAACCTTCATGGACGACTCAACAAAATAACCTGCTCCTGGAGTTGACTGGATGACTTTTGATCAGATAGTTTACATCTACACCAAAGGAAGACGTGGTCAGTTTGTTGGGTGTCCTAGCGTCTTTCTGTAGAACTGCAGGTGTTTTTATATTTTCCAGGTTGCGGCGGCGTTCTCCAGGGTGATAGTGGAACCTTCACTAGCCCCAACTTCCCCAGTAACTACGATGACAACAAACAGTGTGACTGGCTTATCAAGGTATAGGAGAGTTAGGATTTGTAGACAAACAAACGCAACATATCTGCTTTTTGTCAACTGTTCTCTAAAATCATGAACAATGTCCGATCAGCATTTTCTGACCTATAAGACTAGTTAACAGACTTGCAACTGGACTTTTTTACGGACCAGCCCAAAAGCCTGCTAAGGAGGCTATGCTATATATGGGCATTATGTATTGCGCCAAACTGGAAGTCTGGGTTCCAGACTACATGTTGAAGCCTGTGTATCTGACTGTCTTTTGTCTTCAAAATGGCGGTCGAAATTACTGCATTTTAACTTTCGTTGTTTGCTTTTATTACTCCATAAGTATATCTAGTGGTGCTAAGAATATGTTTTGATGATTATGTACATTTTGGGACACCGCCTTGTTTCCATTCTTCACTATTTGTTTATTACTCACAAATGAAGTCGTGAGTAAAAGATATGATTTCTTCAGACTGATCCTCGTTTTTTTTCCTGTTGTCAGGGAGAGAGAGGAGCGACGATCCAGCTGGAGTTTGAGGAGTTTGGGCTGGAGGCGCACGACAGCTGTGCGTTTGACTGGGTGGAGCTGAGACTGGAAGGTCCACAGACCGCAGGGAGAAGGTCAGACTCATCTTTGTCTGCAACATGTTCAAACTTAAAAAAAAAATTATTCCAACATTTAATGTTGACGACATCCGTGTTCGTCTGCAACTTGTTCTTGTTGTGAGGTCGTGTGGCGTAAAGACAGATTGCTCAACTCGGACCAAGAGGTCCCGGGTTTGAGTCCTGACATGCCCTCGGTAAAGGCACTTTACATGATTTTTCCTCCCTTAACTCATTTTTACACACTCTGTTGAGCTCGCTCGAAATCTTTCGATGACTAGTTGCAGCTGTACTGCATTCAAATACGTACGGACACACACAAACACAAATAGACCATCCATACCAGGAGGTAACAATTTATTATCTATTTCACCGCAGGTTTTGCGGATCCGGCCCTGGAGCAGTCGGCTTCGAGTCCGCCACCGAGACGCTGTTCGTCCGGTTCAAAAGTGACGAGTCTCAGACAGGCAAAGGCTTCAGGGCCAAGTACACCATTCTTGGCGGCACTGGAGGTAGATAGTACTGATTTCCCTTGTGCAATGTCAGAACGGCGTGTGTTTGTTCTATAGGAAGAAATGTTTTGGCAACAGAGAAGTTGAATTTGCGGGTGGCCTAATTCGAATGAGGAATGTCAAACGTGTGCATTTTGTCTCTTACGGTAGTGAGCAAGGCATCGGTGTTTATATTTCTTCAGAGGAATTGTCAAGAAGCTACAATGGTGGATCTGTGACAAATAGCCATTGCATCAGTGGACCTTTTTAGTGGGATCTAGGCTTTTCTTCGTGAAATGCCAAGCGTGGCAATGTTTTGAACACAGAGTCTACCGTAACTGTTCTTTTTATTTACTTCTTAGCCTTGCAAATATTACATACTATTCAAACCTCTTTGTACCAGAATTGAATGGTTTTGTGGATCTGGCCCGGGAACAGTCGGATGGTTTTGTGGATCTGGCCCGGGAACAGTCGAATGGTTTTGTGGATCTGGCCCGGGAACAGTCGGATTGTCCAATGTTCTTTCATGTCCTATTTCCCGAGGCAAACTAACATCATTGTGATGTCCATGCTTCTACTTTCAGTTTGGCAACCATCTTGATCTTTCTGAGGATTCTGTTGCCTTGAAGATTTTGTTTCCTTGTGGCCGGCTTATGTAACTTTTTTCCCCCCCTTCCAAAACCAGGTCCCGCTTCTACCGCGGAGCCTGCCGGTCCCGTCACCACTCAGCAACCCGAGCGTCCCGCCTCCACCGCCCAACCCGCTGTCTCCGTTGGTAAGCCGACAGAATTGAACTTATCTCAAAGCACATTTTTGACCAGTATCCAATAGGCCAGGCCGGCCAATATGATACTTTCTTATAGCCACCAAAAGATCTGCTTTTAAATTAGGTTGCACTGTCTTATTTTGCCAAGAGATACTCTTTGCTGTGCCAGAAATTTATGCCAATCTTGGTAAAATTTACATTTTGTGTATCCAGAAGCGAGGGTTCGAAGCCCGTTTGGTCATTGTTTGATTGCAGGGATTGCATTAGTCTTTTTGGATGGGGACGTAAAGCCAGCGGCCCAGTGTATTGGGGATCGAGCTTAACGAGTAACCCTGACTGCCTGAGGCAAAAAACAACAACGTCTACACGTGAAACAACTCAGCACACTTACTGAGAAGACTAGGGGTGACCTGCCATGCTTATTTGACAACACAAGTCACAGCGAAGCTGCATTGCCCCACCAGCTACATTGAAACAAAGAAATGTCATTGTGAGGTCGTATGCTTTACCTTTTACATTCAAAGTACAAAATATCTGATATTCTGTCCAATAGGATGCGTGGTGGGAACGGGTGCGTCATACCGCGGGAAACTGGCCAAGACGGCATCAGGACGTGACTGTCAGCGTTGGGACGCACAGACACCGCATCAGCACAGCCGGACCCCCGCTAACTACCCGGAGTTCGGGTTGGAAGAAAACTTTTGCAGGTAGGGCAAAAATTTTAACACTCACCTTCTAGACGCATTGTTGCTATGTTAGTTTTAGCTGCCAATGTCCACTGAACGAACGATAAAAAAACAAATTTATATCATTTTTATGTTTACCGAAGGAAAACATATTGTTTTTGCTACATTTCCTCTTCTTCCATTCCAAACACTGACCTCTGATCTGGAGAATGACCTGATTTGTTAACGTCTGTCACCATGGTAACTGGTGTTGGGTTACATCATGTTGCAATTTTATAGCAGGAGGGATTTAGACTCGTGTGTGACCATATATATGAATGTAAGTAAGAGTAAGAATTAACCGAGAGCAGACCATATGCGAAGCGAAGGTAAACATCATGCATTTGCTTTGCAAATGTCACCTTTCTAGTCATCATTAATCTTCTAGTGACAAACATGGCGTCATTCAATCATATCTTTCCCTGCATCCAAGGAACCCGGATGGAGAGCCGTCCCCTTGGTGCTACACCACTAACCAATCAGTACGCTGGGAGCTGTGTGAGATCCCGACATGCACCACCACCCCAACAGTGCCACCGGTGGTAACGACACGAACTACAACAACCACTCCGGCGCCGGCCGTACAGACTACCAAATCGGAAGGGAACTGCGCCGGTAGGTTTCAAGATCCTTTTCTACTGGTTATCACTTGTTTTGTTATAGCCTTTTCTACTTTCTCAGTTATAATGTTTACCAAAGGAGGTTTTGTTTTACCCTTAGGTCCTTTTGCGCCGCCATTTTGACTTATGACGTCACTGGTCGGCCATCTTGTTTTCTTACATTTCCATGTCATTGCCTGTTGGATGAGTATAACGTCGATTTCAACCAAATTCCTGACTCAATCTGTAAGCTCGTTGCCGGAGATTAATTAACTGAGGAGTGAAATATTCAATATTCGTTTAAACAAATTAGAAGCTTTTTTAAATTATTATAAATGTATCTTGCAGAGGAGTGCGCCGTTGGAACCGGTGCCTCATACCGCGGGGCAGTCGCCGTGACCGCAACAGGACATACCTGTCAGCGGTGGGACACACAGACACCGCATGAACACAGCAGGACCCCGACTAACTACCCAAACTCTGGGCTGGAAGAGAACTACTGCAGGTAAATTGAACTTTCTTTACATATTGTATATTACGGCATGCAGATACAGCATAGAAATTGTTCTTTTGCACTTCTTTTTTCAATAACGCTTAAATTTCTTGTACAAAATTTGTTATTAGCCGCATGTTTTTAAAGAGTGTTGGGGTGCGTCACTTTTAGGATGAAAAATGGCTAATTTTGTAAGAAAAAAAGTAGACAGTACAGTTGTCCAGATTTCGGGGCTTTTTCAAACCATTGTTGTTGTTTTAGGAACCCGGATGGAGAGGCGTCCCCCTGGTGCTACACTACTGACCGCCTCGTCAGATGGGAGCATTGCTCGATCCCAGCATGCAACGCACCTACCGAGGGCGCAAACAGAGGTCGGTAACATGCTTGAGTCACGTGGTGATTATTCAAAACTGATGAAGCTTGCAGGACAGACAGTAAGAGCAAAGCAAAGAGAGAAAAAGCATATCTTTCAGGCCAAAAATGCAATGTCACTGACGGAAAAGGGTTGCTTGTTTCATATCGTTGGCTTGTTTTAGATTGCTGGTCATAGCACCAATAATGATGTTGCTCGTTTTGGGGCTATTTTTCAGACGCTATAAATATGGAATCATGACAAAAATCAGCCAACAAATATTGGGAGCAAATATCAGACAGATTTCCTCATCCAGAATGTGTTTTTGTATTGCCGCCATGAAATTACTACTAAGTACCTACTATGAGCTCAGAAAAGAGCAAGAAATAGTCATGCCTTCAAGAATCAGAGTTATCAACCAAGGATTGTGGTGTTCAAAAACTCATTCTTTCCTAGAACTATCGAAGAGTGGAACTCGCTTTCAATAAGTATAGTAGGGGCATTATCATTAAATGAATTTAAACAATGTTTAGAGTTAGATGTTCAAAGGTTAGATGTAACAAGTCGTTCGGTGTTATGTACACAGCTACCGCCGCGCCGTGTGCCTGTGAAGCTGGTGTGTTACGCCGAAGGGTGGTTACAAAAATGTATATTATGTACTGGTTATGCAGATACAGCATAGGGTGCCTTTAACATTGTATCTAACATTTTTCATCAGATACGTGTTACGAAGGCAATGGGGCAGCGTACAATGGGGTTGTCGCGGTGACCGACCGAGGACTAACCTGCCAGCGGTGGGACATCCAGTCCCCACACAGCCACAACTTCTCCGGACAGGAGGAAAACTACTGCCGCAATCCGGACGGGTAAGTAGGCATTTTCCGGATTGTTATCTGGAATTTCACTCTAGTTGATCAAAAGTACAAAATAATGTAGTCTGGATCTAAAAAAAGACTCCTTGGGATACTAAAAATACAAGTAGTACAAAGTAACCGAATTTACCAGATCTAGATGATTTAGCCAGCCATATTATAACGTCACGTATTCGCAAAGATCATGGTAGACGTTGGATTCAAATCACCAATTACCGAAATGTACTGTTACGATTGTCTCTACAACATCTGAAGTTCTTGATTTAATTTTGTTCATCTTTTTTTTTAATGGTATGTGTTATTTTCCTGCAGAGGCGAACGTCCATGGTGCTACACAACCGACCCTAGTGTCCGTTGGCAGTACTGCAGCGTCCCCGTGTGTGATGAGTAGCTCATAGGGCTCCGTCCCAGGGGTGTTGCCAAAAAAGGAACTTTGCCGAGCGTATACTGCACAACTGTATACATGTATTGAAATATCAAGATGGCAACATGTATAACATTAGCTACATTATAAACAATGAAATAATGATTTTAGATTTGAAAACTTTTGTAACTACTAGTAATGTATTATAGTACATTGTATTAGCATATTGTACAACGTACAGCATAATACATTTATCAACAGTTCATTGTTATTAACCTGTTTCAGCTGTTTCAATTTTTTTAAATCTTGAGTAATAGATGTTATTACATATCACATATTTCCAAGAGGTTTAATTTTAACATTGTAAAAAAAATAGACTGAATAAAGTTTGAATAATGACTTGAGAAAAAAAAAAAACGATGACGAAAATGCGCACAAAATGCAACTCCTGACTCCATCAATGCTTTGATATTGTTACAGTGTGGTGTCCATGTAATGGGACAGGCAAATCTTCCAAAACACCAATGGTCATGGTATCACTGCACACGTCATAACACTGGACTAAGCCATGGGGTGTACTGAAAAAGAAGTCATTCACATTGCAACAGCCACCGGTAATGTAGATCTCAGAACCACACACAGAGGCACTGCAGTGGTCCCACGGCGCTTCTCTATCAGCCATCTTCTCATACCGATCTTCGTGAGGACTGTAGCACACAACACTCTCTAACTGTCCGCCTACCAAGTAGATCTTAGAGTTCACAGTGCATGCTCTGATCCCTGACACAGCCTTTGGCATTACTGCTGCAAACGTCCACTCATTCTGGTTGGGGTCGTAGCACTGAAGTGCATCTGTTGTTTCTTCGGACATGCCGTACATGCCACCAAACACGTAGATTTTGTCACCACAGGTAGCTATGCCAAAGTGGCTGACAGCAAGCTTCAGTGGTGCTGTCTCTTTCCAACTGTTGGCCGCCATGCTGTACACCTCGACAGAAGTGCTGTCCTTTCTGTCTGAATCGCCACCCACAGCATACACCTCACCGTTGAGAGCTGCCATGCCATGATAACATCTCCCTGTATTAAGGGACCCCAGCTTTGTCCAAGAATCCAGAGATGACTGGTACCGCCATGCTTCTGTCAGCGACTCATCTCCCCCTGTCAGGATCACATCATTGCCAACAACACACACCGCACTTCCCTCAGTGCAGTGAAGGGACTGTGGCAATAAAGTCGTGTTGGAAGGCTCGCAGTCAAAGTGGAGGTCTAGTCTGTACATATGAGAACTCACTCGCCGTCTTTCTCCACATCCTGTCACACCGCCTAGAAGCAAAATTTCTTCTTGTAGGATTCTTCGAGGCGTTGGGTGCGTACTAGTAGTAGGTTGATCCTTAATCAGTTCCTCGATGCCAGGAACTCCTGCTAAGATCTGGCCAGTCTCCATGATGCTCTTGAGATACTCTTGGTCCACGCAAGAAAAGCTAACACACTTCAGCAGTTCCTTTAGTTGTGGTTGTCGCTCCTCTAGGCTATGTCTAGCCCAGCGTATGATCACCTCCAACACTTGCTTTTCCTTCTTCACATGGAGGCCCTCGTCTGAGATGTACCTCTTCAGGAAGTCTACAGGTAGCTGAAGGAACTCCTCAGTCGCAGTGGTGTCTTCAAAATCTTTCAAAGCGCAGTTTTTTGCCTTTGCTGACAGACGTATACACGACACCTTCTCTGCCACCGCCCAAGTTCCCAAGCATGTTTCGGAACTCAAGTTGTCCGAGAGGAACTTTTCGCAAGCATCTTCGACAGGCTTGATCTGGAGCATGTTGGCTGCTTCAAACTGGTGGTAAACGTTGTCAGGGGTGATGTTGAACTTGGATGTGTAAGCAAAGTCGACCAGGAGTTGTAGCGACTCGGGATCCACCCCTCCTATCTCTATCTTGTCCATCTTACTCTCGCTGTGGGCTCCACTGAACATGGCGCAGAAATAGTCGGAGCAGGCAGACAGCACCAGACGGTGACAGGGGACCTCCCTCCCTTCTGCACACAGGGACACGTCCACCAGGTGACCTTCAGACTTCAGCTTCTGCAAACGGTCAAAGAACCAGTCTGGATCCATTGCTAGAAATAAGAAACAAGTAAAATCTGAGATTTTATACCTCCGGGCTTTTATTGTATATTTTTATATAGGGTTTTAAACAAAGAATTTATCGAGACCGGACACCCCTCTGTGTGAGGGGTCATATACGTGGACCAGACCGAGAATAGCTTAAACACACCAAAGGTCAACGGTCGCGACCACTTTCACGCTCAAAGGGGTGTTTTGGGGGCACCAAAAGGCACCATTTTCACGCCCGAAAACACATATACAACAACAAAAAAAAAAAAACGTGCAACATCTGCAGCCCAATAGCAAAACATATACCGAGTCTCAAAAGAATCCGTCCACCCAAACGCAAGAAACAGCTGCGAACATTTCTGCGGAAGGATGTCTCCTCCCCCGGACGTAATAATGTGGATGGGAAAATTGTTGAAAAGAACTTGAGTGATTGTGATAGTAGCTGGTGTAATGCCAATCCATTTAAGTAACTACTGTTATCTTGTTAGTATTTTTATCACATGACATTACAATCATACAACAGTGATGGTTGCCCTCATTGTAACGTTATATGCAATGATAATGGGGTTGTATGCCGGGGCTCCCCCCTTAGAAATTTTTTAGGGGGGAGTATGGGAGCCCCGGCGTACAAATAGGGTGGCACCCAGGCTAAATGTATATGATGAGAGTAGATGAAACAAAACAATGTTGCACTTTAATTGCCTGGTCAGAGTTAAAATAATAATATGCTAACGTTAATGCTTACTAATGAACCTTGAAAAGCATTTTGGTGGGTATTTCGTTACTTCTTTGATGGTAGGTGTAGGGCTTTGAGAAATACGAAAAACAAAAAAGGAATTTTGTCTATATTTGCTCCTGTTCACCGGTATATTGAACATACTATATATATATATATATGTGGTACCACACCCCTCTTGTTCGCTTGGTATCGTCCTGGAACGGGGTCAAAGTGCACCTACAGTATGGTCACGAATTTCTCAAGGTTTCCAAGACATATCACGGAATGGACTAACACATGGTGAGTTTTATGACCCAAAAATTGTGAAATGTGAAAAATGCCTTTTTTTCTGAACTAGTACGTAGTATGTGTAGGTTTCGAATTTGTTTCGTAAACTTTTGCCCCCCTCCCCTACTACAAGACATACGCACTAAGCTTTTATAGTAACAAGTTATTCTATATAACGTTATATTGTTACCGTATACACTTCATACGTTAAATACAATCCATTTCTGTGTGCACCGATACTGAATGTCTACCTTCAAAGATATTACGTTACTTACAGTTGATTCCTGTAGACGAAAAACACAAAGTTAATGGACAAAACGATGGCCGTGTGTAACTGACAGACGTCTTAAAAATGTACCATACTTGAGCACCCCCTACCGGAATTGATTCAACACGCACGTTGTATGTTGTATTGGGTATAAAACAAATTTTAGGTACAGGTACACGGGTTTAGGTGCAGGTCTAGGCCTGAACCTGTAACGTTACCAAAACAATTTCACCAATTAATTTGTTCTTCCGAACTCCTTCAATAATGAGAAGAACATTTAATAAACTTATCAAAGTTTTTGCTTATGGAGAATGCTCAGAGAAAATATGAGCGTCTAAGATGTTCTTGTTTTCATCTCCTACCCTAAGTTTATAGGGAACATATCTATATATGACAGATCTTTCAGGGAAGTTAACACTGTCATTCTGTAAGTGTATTATTTATTACACTAACACCCTGTCCTGAGAGAGATAATTTTTTTCAGTACAGTATCGACTATCGGTATGCAGTATCGGTACACAGCCTATTTAGATACCTTATGATTATTAATGTTATGTATAAACCTAATACCTTCAAGTAACACAGAAAGACAGAGACACCAATGTTGTATGTTAAACATTTATTTGAATCATTTGGGTGTAAAAAGGTTCTCTTATTATCAATGTCACAGCAAGAAAAATAAATTAAATTTGCAGAACGGATTTTCCTGTACATGCGACCAATGCCTTAGTCCTGGTTCCAAAAGCACTTATACGAACGCCTCTTTCTGTCTTATGCAAATTAACGGTATTTACAAAAGACCATGCCCATGAAATGCCATTCACCGAAGCACTTAGAAAACAAAAAGACACATTCAACCATATAAATAGGAAAGTTAAATTACCATCTGCACTTAAACACACAAGGACACACTTGTACGATTCTTAAATCTTATAATTTAGCACAAACAAAAACATTTTTGGAAAAGGCTCCAAACTTTTCAACTTTAAATTTGTTACAGATGACTGAGATACTACTTTTTTTTCCTTGTCAATTATAATTTAATGAATTTGTGCTACCAAACTGTACAGATGTTGAATCAAGCAGTGTCAGCAACTAATCTGAGCTTACTAAATTCTTTTTCTTATAATGTACTTTCTACATGATTGTACAAGTTAATAATACACAGCAGGTTTTCTGATAATTCTTCTTAAGTCCCTAAAACTTTACACTCGCATATTAGGCACATTTTTCAGCAATATACATGGAAGAACTTTGGATGCGAATTTACGAGCAATGGACACAGGATATATTCTTGAGCAGATAGTTATGACTATGTTTTTCCATTGGATGTATATATATATAAAAATTATCTATGGAGAAATTTTGGATCACAGTGCAAGAGTTAAACATTCCTTCAACCTTCCTCATCTATGTTACAAATGCATGTAAGTCATTTCTGAAGTTGTGTTTGCATTCTATAGTTAACGTTATATAATTCCTTATAATGATATCCTTTTCCATGGACAGTCATAAATCTTGTGAATAATTATTACATGTTCTTTCAACCTTGTTCTTTCGTCTTTTTAAAGGTATAAAGCGTAATAATAAATTACTATGTATACAGAATAGTCTTGGTGGCCTAAGAAAATGTTTATCTCATAAGAAACACACAGGAAATGATTAGGATGGTTATTTTTGGGGGTGTTTTTGTGAAAATTGTACAAATGTATGTGGCATCATGCCAAGTAGAAAAACAAGCATAAGTCGTAAAAACATTAAATCAAAGACCAATATTTCCAGTTTACAAGATGTACTTGTAATTGTACTTGGATAAAAGATAATAAACAAAAACAAGAGTTTTTAGTCACTTACTAGTACAATACAGCTTTACAAGCAAATTACATTTCATTTTTGCAGGCAAGCCTTTAAAGATGGCAGGTAATTTTATGGCTGTGACAATTCATAGAATGTTAAATTGAGCTATCATAAGCCAGTTCAGAGTTTAAACTGCTCATGCACATTGTGATGCATTATGGGTAAAGGTCTAGACAAGAATGGTTTCCAAGTTATTATGCTTCACCTTTGACCTTGTGCATATGCAGTTCAAACCATGAACTGGCTTATACATGTTGTACTTTCTGTTGCTGACATTATTACTGTGTATCTACCTTGCTATACATGTATTTGACAGACAAAAGAGGGCAATGAAGTGAAAATGTTTTCCTGAGGTTAGTTGCTATGATGCTCACAGTCTCTAATATTTATCCTTTTTACAATAAACTTCTGAAGCTCAAGCTAGGGTCTAGGGTACAAACCTGATAGATTATAGCAAGATGCTGCTTTGTTTGATACATGCACTCTTCCCTGTATCTAAACTAATGTGCATTGGACATATTCTTTTTCTGCAGTTAAGTATGTTAAGAAGCAGACATTATTTTCGATTCTACTAAACGTTTTCCAACTCTCCTTAGCAGTATTTGACAACATAGACGTCATGTTTTTTTAAGCCAACAAATTGTGCTGTACAGGAGTCCTTTTTTAATTGTGCATTTCTTTCATACCTGCGTTTCTATACTACTGGCATCAAATTCCTCCGCGCTAGCAAACTCACTCGCCATGTGGTTCTCTAAAAATCCGTTCTGGCTGATTTTTCCGTTAGAATGGTGGTGGTCGGTTGCGTAGTAATGTTGTCGCATCCGTCTCTCCTCTTCCAGTAACATCTCCATGATGATCCGTTTTTCTCTTCTCTGACGTTCTTTGATTTCTTTGACTTCGTCCGGAATAAGCCAGGCTATAAAGTCTTTAAGAAAAATCACAACATTCTGGAAAAGAACAAAAAGTAAGTGTTAAGAACATTAGATACTGAGGCAATAGCTTTTAGATTTATTTGTATCTAGACTCTGTAAGTCTTTGAATACTAGTAATACATGTACAAATGTATAATATCTACTACAACAGCAGTAGTGATGAATACATGTATTACTACTATACAATAAAATTATTCTAGATCCATTTTTTGTTCAATCTGAAACCTTGGTGAGAAAGTGTTGTTGCATATAAGATTTTTACTGAACTAGAATGGATGGAATGTTCATAAGTGTTGAAATGGATATAATGTATAGGACCACATTCTCAACCTGTGAAATATGATACGAATATATACAATATTACAAATATTAAATGTAGTTGTACACACATGTACAGATAATATATTATGTATGTAACATATGACAGAAAATGTATGCTGGCCAAATGTTCACATGAAAATTTACGCAAAATAGTCAAGTTGGTATAGTCGACTTGCATCGCAATAGCATTTTTAGATGTAGGTGTGCTACAATGAATGAATGAATGAATGAATGAATGAGACTTTATTTTCGTGTCCTGCGCTTTCCCGAGCCCAGCCCATGTGGGCTTATACGACACCGATTCAAGTTTATGTTCATGTTCAAGTTTATATGCATGCACTATACTAGAATCTGTTGAAGAAAGTATTCTTGCAACACACAAAAATCATAAACTTAAAGGACCTTTCTACAACAATCTAGAGCGGCTCTTTTTCTGGTTCCGCCTCGGCGTCTCCTTGTCGCACATTTTCTTCGTGGATAAGAGCGTCCATCATGATCTTATTTTCTTTCTTAATCTGGTCGTCAAGTTCTTTAGGCACATCAGGAATAATGTAGCCTATGAAGTCTCTCAAGAAAATGATAAAATTCTGAAACGACACAGCAACGAACAAAGAAAGGAAATCATCAGAAAGAAAACAATGTCTAGAAACAATGTAATACATAATATATGACTGATGTAGTATGATTACTATGAATATATAAATTATTGTAAGAAAATGATAATTTAAAAGGTTACAAAATTGATGAAAATTAAAGTGATAGAGGTGATACACAATGAATATACTACATGATATGTTATAAAATCATGTACAATGTCACAGACTAAGGACAATAAAATGGCATTTTTATATTCAGTACAGTCAAACCAGTACCTATATCGTTGTTACTCTGCATCAAGGCCACTAAGCCATTGATATATACAGTGACTGTCAAACCTAGCCTGGGTACCATCCGGATTTTCGCTACGCAACGCTCGAAAAAATCATAATTTTTTTGAGTGTTGCGTAGCGAAAATCCGGATGGTACCCAGGCTATGTCAAACCTGTACTAGTGACCATCTCTACATAGGGACCACCTGACCATTGATAAAGTACTAGTGATCACCTCTTCACTAGTGATCAAATCTTCATATAGGACCACCTGGCCATTGTATGCTACCACTTTTTGGTAGCATAAGAATAATGTCTATAGTGGCTAAGTCTTTGCTATAGTTCCCTGTGTAGGTAATACAGACAGTTTGGGCTGTATCATCTCTCTCTATCCTGTTATTACTTTATGACAAAAGTTTGAGTGCTGGAATCTCACCTGGAAACATATAACAAAGCCTAATCTAGCGGCAAAGATGTGCCAGTATGCCAGGTTGTACTTGTATGGCTCATCCTCCCAAGGGGCATCCCTGAAGTCTCGATATCTGGTGATGTTTCAACAAAAAAAAGGATGTCAGCCTCTCATTACTGTCATCAACTACAAATAGTTTAGGCGCTCATGACACAAAACTATTTTTGATGTTGCTACAGAAACAAGGCAGTCAGATGTCTGAGACTTGACATCCCTAGAGCTACATTGCTACAGAAGCGTATGAACACACACGCACACACACGCACACACACACACACACACACACACACACACACACACACACACACACACACACACACACACACAGAGCAGGCCAAAGCATCATGTACTCCACTCACAATCAAGATCACGCTGTCAGGCTTTGTAAACTACATTTGTACGTCAGGTCTCATACAACATTCAGATAAATTGGTAACTGTAAATGGTTTCAGGGTATCAAATACGTATAAGCAGCATGCTGCATTGTGGATAATGCATGAAAATTGTCTGAGACATAATTTTACAACAAAAAAGAACTACGGACATGAATTAAACATAGTCTAGACGAGAACTGTTACAAGTTCACATGCTCAGTTTGACCTCCATAACATACATTTCTTTGTGAGTAAATAACTTGAATAAACAG